CCATATAGAGCTTCAATCAAGGGGGATCGATAAACAGCTATTGACAAGTCAACTGCAATGACACCGCCTAAAGTGAGTCTTTGGCATCCGCACCCCTGGGTCCATGTATATATATATAAATAGATATATATATATATATATATATATCCATAGATAGATATAGATAGATATAGAAAGACATATCTTTGTATAGATCTGTCTCGAAGAGATATATATATATATGTGTGTGTGTGCGTGTGTATCTAAATCTCTCGAAAAATGTCTCTATATATCTACATATGCTGATCGCCATGCAGCCATGGAGCGTCCAATAAATGTGGACCCTGATGTATCTCCGGAATGAAAACAATGCTGCTTAACCCAGGCACGCGTACTGCAGGTACTGCTGATGAGAAAGCTTGTGCCCACTCCACAGCGCATCCAGCCATCTGCCCTGCACTGTGTAGTCCTTGAACGCCTCGTAGGAGCTGGTGGCAACGAAATGGGTTCCTACCTGCACAGATCGCCCGGGTGAATTCCACCCAGCACTCAAGGCATGTCAGCCGAGGAAATGATCTGGTGGTGGGTCCAGACAATTAGATTAGATGTGATGCTGGCGACGAAACAATCTACATATGCCGCTTGCTGTCAATTCCTGTCTCTGCAAACGGCCATTTATCGCGAAGCAAAAAGTTTCTTTCGCGCATCCTTCGCGAACTGCATGTGTATCTTTCGCGCAACCCATGTTGAGCAATAACTCCGCTTATGAAGATTCAATCGGCACAGGCCAAATCACACCAAATTAGCACGGAAAAGTGCTTCATAGCCTTGCAAACATTGTGCTAGCATCACGGAATCCCCTGCGCGAACAGGTTCTTGCTGCTGAGGAACTTTTTTAGCAAGGCTTACTGGGCCACGCCCTTCAAAATGCCCTTTAACTTTACCTAGTCTTTTGCAGCACTTGCGTGCAACTGTCGTGCAAAGACTTGTCTCCGCAGACCACAGCCAGGAGCACGGGGGGGCGGCAAAGGAAAAGCAAACACCAGGTGCCTTGGTGTTTGGCTCTTGCAAAGTGTCCCTGTTCGAAGCTTGGCTGCTGCATTTCGCGGTTGTTTCTTGAGACTTCAGAAAGCAACGTTAGGCAGGACCAGCGGCAGGTGCAAGGATGTGCTTGGCCACCATGGTATTTGGCTCTGGCGAAGCGTGACCTTCGGAAGCTGGCTGCTACCTATGAAGGGAAAAGCCAATGTGCGGTCCCAGTCTCCTGCCGGACCCCCGACAGCAGGGAGGCGGTGGTAGCCCTTAACAAGCGGTACTGTAGACAATGAGGATGATGCATTCTAGCCACCGTTCGCGACACTTTCGCGAAGCAAACAGTTTCTGTTTCGCAAACAAACTTTCGCGCGGGGTCCCAGCACAAATGAACTGTGTTTGCAATTGAAACTCGTTATCAGGACCTTCAGATGGATCACCACATATATATGTTTATATGCAGAGATATATTTCGATATATCGATAGTGATAAATCTTGAATCAATGCGTACAAAGAAGAAGGATTGCCTATGCAAGACCAACCACGTAGATAGCGGTCCAATGAGTTCAGTTCATCCAAATCAGGCTCGTGGGTGCCCAGACCAAGGTGGCCTACAAAATGTTTGACTGCAAACACGATCTGCTGCAAAGCTGCCAGGTCTACTGATGATCAACTAGAAGCTACGTCATGCTGCTGCCACACGATCGGATTAGTGACAAAGGTGGCCTACATGAACTGCAACTTTCAACATGAGATAGAATGTCGTTACAAGGTAACCCAACGGAGATGCACCTTTGCAGCCCAAACGTAAAAATGTCCTTGGTCTGCCGCATCTCGCCAGCGTGCGCCCCGTGCCCGACATGGGGAAAGATTGGGCTGAATGCCCTTGAAACGGAGCGCCGTGCATGATTGCCAGTCGACGGGGCGGGCGAATTCCAGGAAGCAATGAATATGTAGACGGCCAGCATCCTCCGAACGCAAACTTGATTCCATCGTGGCACTCCATTTGCCGACCCACTCACACGTTGCAAGCCAAGTAAGGAACTCATCGAAATCCGCCAGCTGCAGCTGCAAGGAATTGTAGGTTACCAACACTGCTCGTGCTCGAAGACGAAAAGGGCGGGCATCACCTGTGAAAAATGTGCAACAATGAAGTGGCTGCGACTAGGACTCATGACTATACCCCTTCTAGTTCAGTCTCTCCCATCTGCATGCAAGGCTGAGGCTTGCCTACTGTCACTGATGCATGTCATGTCCATCCACTGCTCTAGGTCTCTTACCCTCCGGAAAGCACCGTCCCGGATGCAGGGACAGAATGGCAACTACTTGCGGTCTGACCTGGTCCTGGGGCTGCTGCCATATCCACATCCTCTTGGGTCGATGCTGCTGCACCAGCTTCGTCTGCTGCTGCAACGCCCTGCAAAGCTGATTAGAAACAGTGTGAACCAGAAGGCCGTGCAAACCCAGCGAATGGTAGCACCAACCAGGACGGCTGAGCAAGTCGCAGCAGGGTGAGAAATGTGAAAAGTGACCCGAACAACGGGTCGCAGTCTTTAGCACCCGACAAACAGGTGAGGCACCTCATAGAGGTCAATGATGTCTCGCAGCTTCTGAGTGTCACTCGGAGACAAGGTGCAGTTCTCCAGGCGCTGTCGTTGCGCTGCAAAGTCGGCGCGAGACAATTCACCCCGAAATTTCGGCACCTCGAGCTGGTTGGCTTGCAGCAGTTCCCGCAACGACCCGCACGCAGCACGCTTCCGTGTCGTGGAGGATCTCATGGCTCGGCCCAAGTGCAATGCGGAAACATCCTGTCTGCATGGCATGTCTTGGGTGCAAGGCTCCAATGCGATGTGCTACGTCAGTTGCTTGCGACACCCCGCTTTGCTGTCAGGTGGCCCATTTCCTTTGGAGAGGGCTTGACACTAGAAACAGCAAGGAACTCACCACCACGTCCTTAAAGCAGAATGCAGGTCACAGGCTTGAGCATGAAAAAAGCACATGGAGCAGATAGTCTGCTAGGATTCCATTGTCACAAACAGCTGGACGTGCATATGGCCCACAGGTCTGGAAAAAGCGTGTCGACCGTTGACACCCAGGAATGCTGCTGATGATTTCCGCTAGAGAAATGTGACTGGTAGAGGCACGTGTCTGAGTAGCAATATCTACAGAGACGGTCTGCCCCAGAAACAAAACCGCTCACGGCCCATGTTTTCACCCGACGTGACTGCAGTTCTCTCCGGCTGCCGCTTCGCACACGTGCGATCCACAGACGCCATGCTGCGACAGCACTGCAAAAAAAAGGAATGGAAGCTGGAAGAAGGGGTGGAAAAGAGGTAGATGTGATGTGGGAACATGGCCGCTGCAAATGATGGAATGGGAAGGATGTGCATGGGGGTAATGTCTTAAAGCTGCTGTTGCTGCTGCGCGCGACAGTACGCAATTACTATAGGCGGGACCGCAGCGGGACCGCGGCGGGACCGCAAAATGTGGGAATTCCCACGATTCCAGGTTGCAGGCGGGACCGGTCCCGCCGTCGGCGGGACCACTTTACCTGTGAATTTATAGGAGCGGGACCGCATACCCCGTTTGGGAATTATAATAATATACCAGGGGGGGTCAGGTGATGTTTTGGAGGTGGGGTGTGGGAAGATTCTTGGGGAGGTGATGTTTTGGAGGTGGGGTGTGGGAAGATTCTTGGGGAGATATCTTGTCTATCTAGCGTTGTATCCCTGGATGTCTTCTAAATGGGGTCTCTGGACCGCGCATGTCTTCCAAGCGCTTTGTCTTCGACATGGCGCTTGCAAGTCTGCGGTTTCCAGCTTTCACTCCTGCCGCGCTATGCCTTTGGCATTGGGATTTTCAGCCTTGACATGGTCTCATTCCAAGCGCTCTATGTCTTGACCATGGCGCTTGCAAGTCTGCGGTTGCCAGCTTTCCCTCCTAGTGTCCATGCCTTTGGCATGGTGCTTTCGAACCTTCACATGGCCGCTCTCACTCCAAGCGCTCTATGTCTTTGGCATGGCGCTTTCCACATAGTGCACGGCTTGACTCTACTCATGCGGGCTTGCCATTGGATGCATGCGACGTGCCAGCAGCCACGTCAAATCACTCACATCCAGCTTTCCTGCTTGTCGTAGAAGACGTCTTCGTTTCCTTTCCTGCAGGCTATGGAGTACATGTCTTTCAACATGGGTTCAGCGTTCACATGTCCCACCTGCACTCACGAAAAGACACCGTATCCATGCATTTACATGCACTCTCCTGGTTCTGTAGTTCTTTGGTGGCTGCTGCTAACTGGCGTTTCAAATTTTTGCGCTCTTCCTTCAGCACAGCAACCCTATCAGCCGCGGCCGGTGGGGCTGCAGCTGCCGCGGCGTTTGCATCAGCAGCGGACATGGCACTCAAGGCGGGCGAACAACAGGCTTGCTCCACTCAAACTGCATGCAGTCCTCAAGATGATCCTGTGTTCTCTTTGTGCTTGCCTGGTACCTCCTTTTCACCCCTGTTCACGACCCCAGAAACATGGCTACGAGAATGTGACAAAATGGTCATGCACCGATGTACCCTGATAGTATATATATTAATATACACACTTTCAGATGGTATGTCAGAAACTATGTCAGAATAGTGTGTCAGGCGTCAGGGTGGAGATCACTCGAAGAAAGCAGTTCGCATTTATCTACGTAGACCTTCGACACGTGTGCGCTGCCATGTTTGTTCACATGCAAATGGCGTAATGGGTGTAAGTATTTCACAGCATGTGTTTGCCATTTTTTGCCTTTTGCCCCTTGTGACCGTGGGATAATACATTATGATACCATGGATACTTTGAGAAGAAAAACCTATGGGGGGTTCCTAAAATAGAGGTACCCCCAAATCGTTCATATATTTTAATAGGATGTTCCATTATAAATCCATCATCCAGCTGCCAAAAAAAAGGTGCCCCCTAACTGTCGGACCACAATTTCGGCACCGTTGCCGTGCTGAGGTGATGTTGTGGTTGCAACACGGCTTGTTGCCCGTCCTTTGGAATCAGGCGACTGGAATGTTCCGAGCAGCGACTGGACCTTTTTGCGGGGGTTAAGCCCAGGCCAAGTGCTGATCCCTTAAATGGGATTTTCCTGGATCATCATTCGATGTTCTTTTTTGGAGGGGTGAAGAAAAAAAACAGAACCATGACTTTTGGTGGTGGTCTCAATGATGTTTCATTGGGCGCTGCTGATCCCCACTGCTGTTAACATTGTTAACCTGGCCAGGTTGGCCGTGACACTGCCGTGGACGTTGACAAAATGCGGGGTCACCCGGGCAGCGTGACCCCTTGTTGATGACCCATCTATGTACTGCATATACACTCTATATCTCTATCTTGTTGATGTATAATGGGATAGCTTTTATTTTTTAAATGGGTACTGTATGGTATGCCACAAAATGGCACTTTTAACAGTTAAACATAACGATTGAACAGACAGATAATGATTGACCAGTTGATTTGGGGGATACAATATTTCAGTCAATAATGCCATGGAAATGTCTTACAGCGAGCTGTGTTTCGAAATCGCCGAACCACATTTGTGTCATTTGTGTATGGAGTCAAACATTGAAATGTATTACCCATAGGATCCATGTATGGTATATATGCTAACATTTGGGGTATATTGATGGTAAATGTTAAACCATATATAGCAAACATGGATCCTATGGGTTAGAAACACATGAAGTAACGAAGAATTGGATGGACAGTGAGAAACCTGTTCTGCATGGTGTGATCGGCACGGCACCAATGCTTGGCCTTGGCTTGAGCAAAATTGTCGAGGCTCACCCCATGTCGATATGTTATTTCATGGACCATTGTGCACTTGGTGCTCTATACTCAATGATATGCGATACGTGTGATGTATGAATGATGTGTATACACAATTATACACATATTATTGTTTAGATCATGCACATATAGGCAATGATAAAAGACAACTAGCCATTTTTGCTCCCAGAAAGTGGCACCTTTTTTGCCATGAGGTTCGACGCTTCAGCCGATAGCATCCTGGTAAGTGGCCTCAGACCCGATGGACCTGGATGTGTCTGGCTTTGGGAACGGATGGACATCCGTTGCAAAGCTGAAACAACTGCCCGGTATTGATGCCAGCCCTTTATAGGCTTTTGGTGAACATCAGGATGTTCAGGGACCCAGGGACCCATTTTGGGGGGATGTTGAGTTCTTGGAGTGTCCCGAACGTACGGAAACACTCCCGGAACCTCAACAGCATCTGGATCTTTGATCACTGATGAACACCCCCGGAGATTTTGACGATGAGAAGAAGAAACTAAGGTTCTCTCGATATTTTGGTTTAAACATGTTGAAATGGTTTACTTGGACTTAAACCTAATTCTTTGGGACCCAAACATACGGGGATTGGTTCCCCATCACATCAAACCTTCTCAACCGGCACTTGAGGCCACACGGACCACTCCAGGGGTCAATCTGGCGCAACTTTCCTGCGGATCCGGGCATTTTCTGAATGCCGCGAGCTGGCTGTAGCTGAAGGGGAAAAATCTGATCAGTTTAGACGGTGATTTACTGAATGGATTTTCGGAAAGTCTAAATTTACTAGTACCATCTAGTATCATATATTTTTGTTGCTATTATTTTTACTGGATGGACATGTCCAAAAATTCTTCCGGTTCGTAAATTCTTCCGTGCAAAGGGGGTCAAGTATGGTCAAGTCATTGGAGCATGATGGACATCCGATGGTCCTTAGACCATCCAATGTTTTCTGGGGGTACTAAGCATGTTTAAAACATGTCAAATTATCACAGTAATATTTAATTAGATATATATAATTATTAGATATAATTAGCATCAACTCAATTTTGTTGATTCCCAGAGGGTCATGTTCAGTTTTCAAAACGCATTTTCACCAACCTGGCACCTGAGACATCCCCCAAGACCCTGTGGCCCACGGTCAACGACTCCACCCACGTGGCAGATCTTTATGAACTGGATGCAGATTGTTGGTGGCGTCCGCCTAAGGCCAGTGGAGATTCTGCTCCTTCAGTGGTGGAGTCTGCTCCTTCTTAGGGTTTTTCCTAAGCGGTATCCCCAGGTCCCCAGGCGATTTAGATTTGGAGTACTGAAAAATCTCTGGGGAAAACCATCAGGATTGACTAATATTGATGGTTCATGATCCATGAGATGACCTGTGAGATGGAAAATGTCGCTCAACCAGCGTGATGGATGTTTGCAGTGTGTTTTTGTTCTTATTAGAGTCTGTACTGAAATCCTTGTATGTGTTGCTTTAACTTTCATTTTCCATGAGATCATCGTACAGAGGCTTCGACCAAGGGCGCCATGGCCACTGCTGAGATTGGACAAATGAACCACTTTGATCATCCATGATGTACCTGCAACCTGCTGGTGACCTGCCACTCTTGGCGCTTTGAACATGTGTTTGAGCAGAAAGCACGGCTTGGAGATTTTCTTAGAGTGTTGCCTACTGGTACTACGCCTCTTGTCTCAAGTTTGAAATTGGAGAAAGGTCACTTCAAACACCAATAAAAAAGCAAGGTTGCCAGAAGGGAATGGATCGCGCAGAGGTCTGAACTGTTTCCCCAACCATCTGGCGAAATGCAGGCAGCGACGCCTGCAAAAGGGCGAATGTTCTCTGGATCCCAGGCGCGACACAACTTGCGAAGCAAGTGCAGCTTGTGTCGGGGAGTGGTTGAATCATGTTGAATCATGTTGAATCCACATTTAACTTACTATTGTTAATATACTGTTGTTATTTCTTGTTTTGTAATATAGGCTACATCATGCTACATCATTTAACTTATAGTGACTTAGTGTTTGCTAAGATCAAAGAGGATATTTTACCACGCTGCTATCAGCATCCCAAGAAACCAAGCATTTGTCAGGGTCGGGGATCTTGCCACCGATAAGGCAATGAAAACCCGAATCTGAAGCGGATTGACTTAGCAACCTCAGCCATACCTGGTAAAATAATGTAGCCTTTGGTAAGCCTTTCGTAAACTAACATAGTAACATATACGTACTATGGACAAACATCATTTTTAATAGGTACATCAACTATAAATGGGAAATTTCAATAGCTATGATTGCCAGAGGGTAAAATGCATCATTCTACTGTCGGCATCACCATTGTACCCAACTCATTCAATCCAGACCCAGAGGCAGACTTCAAAGCTATCACCGTGCAGCAATTTCAGATGGCTCGAAGATCCCCTTGTTGGAAGCGCAAATCTTTCTGACATAGTAAACCAAGGGTACATAGATACACCATGGCTACGCATTTCCAATCATGGTCCTGGTGGTTTACCTTTTGGCTAAATCCATGCAAAATGAATCAATGTTTAACATGTGGAAACCTCCAGACTCCACATCAAGGGTGCAGCCGGCAAAGCCCGGTGGCCCTGAGCAAGCACAGGTCAATGTCAACCTGTGATGCTGGCGGTTATGTAGAGCCACATCGTTGCTCAGATTTAATCGATCTGTCTGTACAATGCCTGAATGGTGAAGGATGCAGGTTGCAGCTCAGTGGTTCCTGCACTGGTTGGGAAGTGTACCGGATGGTTTCAAAGCAACTTCCTCAGAAAAAAGGTGCACGACTCAACCTGCATCACCTGGACTTAACTCTGCTACTTCACGAAGAATTGCAGACACAAGGCATCATCGGCAAGGCTGCAACACTCTCATGCACTTTTGTTCCAATAGATCTCTATGCTGCGTGGTGTACTGTCCAAGGTTTGCCAGTCTCTCAGGAAGAGCTTGCACTAGAGGGAGTGACGCGGATACAAGGTTCCAACTCCAGAGATTATTTGCACCATCTGCCAGAAAGCCTTGAACACTTGACCTTTGGAGAAGCGTTTAACCAGAGCCTGGAAGGAGTGAACTTGCCAAGAAGTCTTCAGACATTGAGTTTTGGGCATCGGTTTAACCAGGGTCTGGAAGGAGTTGCCTTGCCAAGCAGTCTTCAGACCTTGACATTTGGCTATTACTTTAACCAGAGCCTGGAAGGAGTGACCCTGCCAAGCAGTCTTCAGACCTTGACGTTCGGCTATTGGTTTAACCAGAGCCTGGAAGGAGTTACCCTGCCAAGCAGTCTTCAGACCTTGACGTTCGGCTATTGGTTTAACCAGAGCCTGGAAGGAGTTACCCTGCCAAGCAATCTTCAGACCTTGACATTTGGCGATGGGTTTAACCAGAGCCTGGAAGGAGTTATCATGCCAAGCAATCTTCAGACCTTGACATTTGGCAATGGGTTTAACCAGAGCCTGGAAGGAGTGACCCTGCCAAGCAGTCTTCAGACCTTGACATTTGGCAATGGGTTTAACCAGAGCCTGGAAGGAGTGACCCTGCCAAGCAGTCTTCAGACCTTGACATTTGGCTATTACTTTAACCAGAGCCTGGAAGGAGTGACCCTGCCAAGCAGTCTTCAGACCTTGACATTTCGCAATGGGTTTGACCAGAGCCTGAAAGGAGTGAACTTACCAAGGAGTCTTCAGACCTTGAGTCTTGGGCATCGGTTTAACCAGAGCCTGGAAGGAGTGACCCTGCCAAGTAGTCTTCAGACCTTGTCATTTGGCCATGAATTTAACCAGAGCCTGGAAGGAGTGACCCTGCCAAGCAGACTTCAGACCTTGACATTTGGCGATGGGTTTAACCAGGGTGTGGAAGGAGTTACCCTGCCAAGTAGTCTTCAGAGCTTGACATGTAGCTATGGTTTTAACCGAAGCCTGGAAGAAGTGACGCTGCCAAGCAGTCTTCAGACCTTGACATTTGGCTATTACTTTAACCAGAGCCTGGAAGGAGTGACCCTGCCAAGCAGTCTTCAGACCTTGACCTTTGGAAGCGAGTTTAACCAGAGCCTGGAAGGAGTGACCCTGCCAAGCAGTCTTCAGACCTTGACATTTGGCTATTGCTTTAACCAGAGCCTGGAAGGAGTTACCCTGCCAAGCAATCTTCAGACCTTGACATTTGGCGATGGGTTTAACCAGAGCCTGGAAGGAGTTACCCTGCCAAGCAATCTTCAGACCTTGACATTTGGCAATGGGTTTAACCAGGGTCTGGAAGGAGTGACCCTGCCAAGCAGTCTTCAGACCTTGACATTTGGCTATTGCTTTAACCAGAGCCTGGAAGGAGTGACCCTGCCAAGCAGTCTTCAGACCTTGACATTTGGCGATGGTTTTTTCCAGAGCCTGGAAGGAGTGACCCTCCCAAGCAGTCTCAAAAGCTTTGGCCAACGTTCGGTCTTGGTGAGCATCACGTGATTTGCTTCTGAAGATTTGAATTATTTGAATTGTACATATTTATTTTGACATTGTACATATTTTGTACATATTATTTGTACATATTCTCAGGATTATGCTCTTTGAGTTGCGGTCCACAAAACCGGCGATGAACCTGGGGTCAGAAAGTCCCGTGCATTGGTGGCTTGGCCCATTTATGGCCACGGGATCTGTAAACCACGAAGTTATAAACCACTATGCCACTATAAGACATTATAAAACCCTCTTCTTACTGTATTGATATATATATTTTCGATACTTCTCTAATGCACGAGGTTTTATTCGCTTGGGGCTCTTAGCAAAGCGTTTCAAACCGGGCCTCCCGGTTTGCTCAACCATCAGGTAGTCTCCATCATTGTGCTCTGATATCGGGTTTGCCAAGAAATGGGCTATACTGTGCCAATGAGAAAATGGCGCTCCATCAGCTCAGAAAACAACCTAAACCGGCTGATTTTCCGCGCGAGCGTTTTGGTATTTTTTAATATTTTGTTTCTGGAACATTCTGGAACGATATGTGTTTGATTTTGCAATAGAATTGGAAGGTCCGCTGTCAGATTTGTAGTTCAAATGCGGTCAATTCCAGTGGTGTTTTTTGTTGGGACCTTTTTGTGTAGTATGTGATATGTGCGAGGTTTTGGATCATGTCAGAAAACAGAAATTGCATGCATACTTTTTGAGGCCGTTTGCGTTTCGCTACAACATCACCACCCTTTTCGTGGGGTGTAAGCAAGGGGGGCGTTCAAAAAATGTAAGCCACAATTTTGACCCCTGCATATTTTTTCCCGATGGGGAAGGTTATATGTATCTTAGACACCTCCTACGTCAAAAACCGTGCCCCGGAAGATTTACATTTCAGGAGGGGGGGGTTGAAAGTCGGCAAGAGATACGTCACCCCGTACCCCCCTCCGAACCCCCGCCATACTCTACGGATAGGGGGGGAGGAGGTAAAAATTGTTAAATGTCCGCAAGCAGTTTGTAAACTGTTTGTGAGGTGTCTTTGTGGGGATGTAATCAACCTATGTCTGAGGTCCATAGTTCCTTGCAGAAAGTGTTCGAAAAAGCAGGTAAAACTAAGATAGAAAAATGTAACCATCCAACACTTGAGGTCCTTAATTCCTTGCAGAAAGTGCTCAAAAAAGAAGGTGGAGATAAGATAGAATCATGTAACCATCCTACACCTGAGGTCCTTAATTCCTTTCAGAAATTGCTTAAAAAGAAGGTAAAAATGAGATAGACAAATGTAACCATACTACACCTGAGGCCTATAATTCCATTCAGAAAGAGCTTAAAAATGAAGGTAGATATATATATATATAAGATTAAAAACAGAAAACAAAACAATCCTATACAGCCTATACATAAGGTCCATAGTTCCTTGCAGAAAGTGCTCAAAAAAGAAGGTAAAGCTAAGATTGAAAAATGTAACCATCCTACACCTCAGGTTCCACAGTTCCTTTCAGAATCAACATGACACATGTGTAGATTGTTATTGTATTATGGTTGGAGGGTCTTTTTGGGGGGCTAGATAGGAACCGTGGCAGAAGGGTGTTTAAGTTCGATCATGTAGGTACATAAAGGGGATTTACCATGGGGACCCCATAAAGGTACATTTGAGGTCCTTTTGAGATCCATTTGAGGTCCTTTTGCCATAGGTAGGAGGTAAATTTGAAGACCTTCAACATCTAATTTTACATTTATTTGATGTTCAAGGATTTTCCAGTAATTTGCAAGGAATAATTTACCTTCTATACCTCTATATTACATGTGGAAATGATAAAAAGGGTGCAGAAAAAGTGTAGAATGTATTGGAAATACCAGGCAATTGGTGACCTACACACTTCCAGTTTGCACTTTTGATTTTCTGCAATTCTGCAGCTATTTGCAGACCTTCACACTATGTTGTTTTTTTTTACAGTTTTTTCATTTTATCATATTTTTTCAAAAATGCAATGGATCGACAATATTGAACGCCCCCCCTGCGTTTTTTAAGAAAATAAATGAAATCCCGTAAAGAATGAGGGGACCTACTAAAATGAAATCTTGCAAATAAGACGCAGTTAAAAACACATAAATGCTTGCCAACATTTAACAGGACCACCTCCCTCAAAAACGTCTAAATTGTGTCTTGCAATTTGGGTACGCCCCCCCTCCTTACAAGGGTAGTGATGCTACAACTAGAAGCCAGGAATTTCAGGCGTTTGTTTGATTTACAATTTTCACCCTTTTTTCTATCAGTTAGCACGAAAAGTTTCTGCAGTGAGCAACTAGGATTTCTGTTTGAACCATAGAAGAATAACAATACTATCATATAATGTGGGTAAAACATAGTAAAGCAATGTCATAAACCATCCCCCAGTCATCACCATTTTTATAGGAGGTATGTAAACACCATTCCCAGGAAAAAGGGTGGTTTTTCATGACATTGTTTTACTGAGGCTGTGTTGCTGTGTCGTTTCTCAGGTTGCAAGAGCGCTTCTCTCCTTCCTGCTACACTGAATTTCTCCAGGCGGCCAAAATCACCAGGATTGATAGGTACCAGGTTCCGGACGTCCATAGGTCAATGGACCATTTTCTATGTGAAACTACCGGAGGGATCCAATATGTACTAATATTTGGGTGTGTCTGAAAATGGTGTATATACTGATTATATACTGGAAAAACCCCAAATGGCTACTTGTCATAGGGGGAAAATGATGATTGACCGAGAGGATTTCGGAGTACCATATTTTCGGACAAACCCATAGTCATTGTAATAGTCATTGTTGTCTACATGTGTAATTAGCAGTGAGGGAGTGAGGGAGCCAAAGTTTGTGTACCTGCAGCAGTGCTGCCGCTCATCAACTACAAGGAATCCCTGTGGCATTTTGCAGCCTGGGAGTAGCATGTGGCCAGCAAGTGCCAGCCTGGTCTTTTTGCAGAAATGTCATTCATGTGAAAATTACCGACGGAATATGACTGAATCATAATATGGAACGGTTCTGATGCGGAAAGATGCATCCTGCAACATGCTCCATTCAGAGGTTTTTTTTCGTCAGCCCCAAGCACGGAGCTCTGAAAATTGAACTGAAGATCCTCAAGCCGTATGCTACAGGTTCAAGACATCCAAAATGATCATGCTTTTTTGGTTTCTTCACAGCAATTAATTCTTGAGAACTACCACAAATTCATGGTGTACAGTACCATGGTCATAGTTGCAGTATACAAAAAACACACTCACCATTCGATACCCATATTGGGAGATGGACATGCCACCGTTAATACAGGGGATCATGCTGGGATGACAATGACCCATTAATACCTTTACATCACTTGATATACCCAATATTATGCCAGTATTACTTGGGTTTTCCATAAATAGGGGTACCCCAATAGCTGGTTGATTTATAATGGACAGCCCTATAAAAATGGATGATTTAGGGATACCCAGGGTACCCCATGGTACCCCTATTTTAGGAATCCCATAAATATATACATATATATCCACTATGGTTGATTTAACACCCACCCATTGCCCTGTCTATTGGTGGTTACAGAAGGATAGACAGCCATTATCTATTAGATCAACCATGGTGAGTCATATACCATTTATTAAGCATGCTGTTGATATGATCCATTATACGCCTAATAAATGAATATAACACGTATATAACTACGTATATAAATCACAGGCGATAATCATTATAGTGATATGTCGTTGTGTCAGTTATCTACTATCCGCTACCCATTATATGGACCTACCATTATGGATCTTTATGGTATATCATATTACACACCATGGTATAAACATATATCTATATACACTATTGTATATATATATACATTATATATAATTACTATAAAATACTATATATATACACATTATTTACTACTATAACACACTATATAATATATATACACACTGTATGCCATTAGATGCCATTCTCCATGATAGTTTCTGTGATACCCTGTAGCTTGACCATGCCCCAGGTGTCTCCCTTCGGACCGGGCATCGGTAGCTACGCCGAGGGCTTTGTGCCTGAGGCAACAAAGGGGGGATCGTGGAATTGTGGACGCAAACGGCCATAGAATCAGGATTGGGACACACGGAGATATACGCATACATATATATATATTATATATATATATATGCGTGGATATACAGATCTGATGATTTGTATACTGATATGATCTGATATGCGTATAAGATGAATACAACTTGTAAATAAGCATATTTTTGGTTCGTTCATAGACAGTCTCTTCCGGGAGGAATCCTGCAAGTTTAGGACCACCAGGGCAGCAAGGTATTGACACGCCGGGACAGACCTGGATGCGGATCAAATCTAAGGATCCCCATTGGATAGATAAAGCAGTACCCTCTGGTTATGTCAAAATGGCTATTGAACATGGCCATTTATAGTGGATTTTCCCATGAAAAATGGTGATTTTCCATAGTTATGTAAACGCGTACCAGAGGGTATCCCAACCATGTTTTTTTTCCATTTTTTGGATACTTTTTACCGTATCAGTTTGTTGACCCATATATCATATACCCAAATAAATCGCCTATCGACATATCCAGTAGATCATTTATATCCATGTGTTGCACTGCATGAGGGTCTTGCCCACTGATTGCTGGGGACTATGCTTGATTTTCACTTAAACTTGGAATGTAAGACATGTTCCACTGGGTTCTGTCAAGGTGTACCCCTCATGGTTGATCCGAACATTGCCATTTCGGAGTGTCATGTGTAATCTATTTCTGGACACAGCCACATGTTCAACTGGGGGAGTCTCTTGCAGAATCAACATGAATCAACCACCTCCATTCCTGAGCCTTCAGGATGTCATGGGAGCCTTTGATGTTCGATATAGCTTAGTTTGCGGCCTAAGGGTCCTGGGAATCCTGGGAAGGGCAATGGGCCACACAACATCTCGGTGTCCAAAAAAACGTTGCCGATGTCCGGCAGTTTTTGGGGACCTCGTCCTCAAGGACCCTGAACAAGAACTGTTGATGTATCATCATGTTCTGAATTAAACGAATGCATTTTTGGGGTATATACCGGTATGGTATACCCGGCCTCGTAAATTAACATAGCGAACTGGAAAGATCCACCATTTTTCATGGGAAAATCCACTATTTCTATGGCCATTTTCAATAGCTATGTTAAATTACCAGAGGGTACCCCCTGGCCCTGGACAATTCACATGATCCCGACGATATCATGGATGTTGGTCTCAATGTTGGGTGCTTTGCTTCAAAGAAGTGCGAAGATCAACAAACATTCTATACATGTTTGTTATTTATGAACGAATATGGTTGACTGGTTGGTGGTTCCAAATATTGTGTTTTGCGTGTAATTACCTGAGATGATGATTGCAAGTGGAGGCATATTCATTGGCTCAGCAAGGAGACCCACCTTTGGGCCGTAGCCATTCAGAACCAACCTCCCTATGGTCTGAGGGAACGCCCTTCCGGGAGATTCTGGAGAATTTCCAGTACATGCTGAAGGCGCAGAAAAAAATGCATTCTGCGGATACCCAAAACGGTCAAAACGACAAGCAGGTGATGTCATTTCAAGGGCAAAGCTTGTAGGTAGAGATTCCAGATACAGAAAAGTTCTTGATCAGATTGGGGATTGGCTCCTCATTCAGGTCCATTGATGGCAAATGTGTCTATGATATGTCCTTGTTGTTTGAAACCAGACATTTTGGTCGTCCATTACGTTCCATCAAACGCCATCAAATTCTGATATATGATTGATTCTGTCCTGCATTCGAATACAATTCCATTAATTCCATGAATTTCACCAAAGTTCAACAAAAACACCTCAGAAGTCTGCTCCTTCGTAAGTTTCAAGAACGAAGTATAACAAAGATCAGGTTGGAACTTCAGGACATGTTCACACTTTCATAGAAACACTCCCATCCACACCATGTTCCTCCGTTGCTGCGCCAGGAGCACAACTGGGTGGGCGAGGCCTCACAATCCTTGCAGATCCAAGCCGCCATGGTGCATGGCGAGGCGAGCGTTGGGGAACCAGTCAGTACAGCCAGGACAGCCAGTGGGGACATCTATGGGATATATCGGGGGGGGTCCTAAAATAGGAGTACTCCAAAAATGAATTGTTTATATTTGTTTATAATAATGGAACAAAATATTGAAATTGATGATTTGAGGGTATCCCCTAAAAATAGAACATGTCCATACAACCCAGAAATCTGTCATTTCATGAGGATCTATTGGGATTATGGGATGATGGTTGATTCTTTCAAACATTTTTTGACTTTTCCACCTTGGAAATGTGATGATGAACCCCCCAACGAGTACGATTTTTTTTCGGGGGTTGAAACCACCAACCAGATAGCCAAGGAAACATCGGGATTTAGCCAGGAAAACATAGGGATTCTAATTCAACCTGGACAAATCATGTTGTTTTTTTAGGGTAAACCGAATGACTAAAGGGCAAATGTTTGGTTAAACGTTAAACAGAATTGAAAAGCACTTATGATTTAAAATAACACCTTGGTGAATATCACCAAGAAAACAGTTTTATTGGTGATTAATTGGTCAAACAGTTCTATGTGTTTCGCCACGAACTATCAATTTGGCTGGGCGCCTCTTAGTTTGCAGGTGCATGGGGTCAAGTTTTGTCGTTGAGATATGTATCAGATATGTTGTATCTCAGCAGATGTGCCATGGTCAAAATATGGTTTTATACTGCTGTATATGTTTTACTCTTCATTAAAAGGGGATGATCATGTCCCCATTTATATAGGTTTCAAAATAACCATTGTCAGGAATCCCTCAAAACTAGGCCGATGGACTCTTGTTAAACAAAAACTGTGGGATAGGCCATAAACAGAAACATATTATATAAGCACTGGGGTATCATCGACAAATTTGGATGTATACAGAGTATGTATAGTCTAATATTAGTTATATAAGTATAACACAAGAACACAAGTGGTTGACAGAGACTTTGCTAGTAGCTAGGGCCCAAAAGCTGTTGTACTTATGCCCGGGATTCATCAAAGGAACTGTTCTAATATTGTTTACATACGTATGTATAATAATTAAATATACTATTGATTTAGTCGTATAATACACATAATTGCAGGGATCATCCCTGTTTCGCAGGAGTTCAATGCATGTATAAGAGTCTTAGGAAGAAAGATAGAAACACCATTTGTTTAAACACAAAAAACACATCATATGTTCTTTTCTCACATGTTGGGGATCTTTGCAATGGACACTTCGCTGGCTAAGTTGAGATTGTCCCATCAGCACTTTCCCTGGGGTTCGACGGGTTCGAGTTCTTCAAGCCAGGCCACCCCGCCGTTTTTCGTGATGTTTGAGGCCAGTTGTCGGGAAAGCCTCGTTGACACATTCGACAGAAATACATCACTGTGTTCTAGCCAGTCAAAAGAAGTTCCTGTGGATGGTTTGTATTTGGTCACAACACAGTATTCCTGACTAATCCACACTAGGGAAAATGACTCAAACGAAGAGGTACACACTCTGGTAATCACCATGGCTAGCTGGGAAATCCCTATAAATGGGCATGAAAATGGGAGAATTGTCAAATTAAATAGGATGAGATGTAAATGGGCATGTCAATGGGAAAATAGTCAAGCCAAATGGGTGATTCTCCAGCCAAGCACTCTTGATCGCCAGAGGGCATTTCAACTTAAAGTCTTGAGAGCCAAGGAATCATTATGTTTTGATATGTTTGATTGATATATCTTGCCCAGATAAATGGAGGTCATCACCATGTTGAAGCCATCACCCGTGGATTTTGTTTCGTTCCTGGGCGGGGCCAAGGTTCGCTTCGACTTCAAGCGGAGTGGCTATGTCAGGGCCCTGGGGATTGCAAAGTTTTGGAGGATCGTCATCGATCCATTGTAGTTTTGGTTCCAAAAATGCGGGTACCCCAATAGCTGGATGGTTTACAACGGGAAATCCTAAATAACATGGATAATTTAGGGGTAGCTCTTCTATTTTAGGAAATCTCCATGGATTTCCAGTATGGGATTGACAACTACAAACCATTTTGTGTCCTACAATCCAAAAAGTAGAACAGTTTTTAGAGGATGATCGGATGCTATAGATGATATTGATATCTGCTTCATATTTTCCGGGTTTCCAACTTGTCTACCCAATTATCAATGTTCTGGACACTCCAGAATTTGATATGTAATAATATGTAATATACATATACGTTCGTTATTGAGTTGATGGAATGTTGGTAACCTGAATGACTCATTGATGTAGAAGTCCCAAACGGCCAAACGGTCCGCACAAAAAAAATATCATTCCATCGCCCGTCACAAAAGCCATGGCTTTCTGGGGCTGACATGGCCAACTCAGGTAGCCAAAGAGCTGAACATTTTCTTGACCGCCACCGACATGTCGCTTGGATGGGCCAGTGAGTTGTGAAATCTTGGATTGCCATGGGTGGTTAAGATGGGCCCTGCATAAAGTTACATTATTGCAAAGAAATAATAATTGAAACCGGAGACCAAGGATTGTAATCCTAGCAATGAGGTAGAACATGGACTGACTGACCCACAGCATCCCGCATAATCTAAGACAGTATGCACTCGTCAGTCAAAATAGGGCTCCGTTGTCAGTCGTGTTCCAGTATTACACATCAATGAATGCTACGATGTGTCATATGATACACTACAATGATCTACAATGTAGTAATATGACGTATTATCTACAATCCAATACTAGTTACTAGAATCATGCAAAACAATTCCAATTGATATTAATGATATTATATGATTCATGATGATGATGATGATGAGGATGACAAAACACCAGTATATACGGATTAATAAGTATCATGACCTATAGTGCGTATATATAATCATACATACATAACTTGTGTATCCATCTATCCATCTATCTACTGTATCCATCCATATTATATATATATATATCCATCCATCCGTCCATCCATCTATCTATCGACCAGCCTGGTACGTGCTTGATACGCGCGATACGTTGAGGTTTCCCACGACTTTGGAGGTTGTGTTGCACGTCCTTTGGGTGTCTTGGTGAACTCTTGGACGAAGGGTTGACCATGTCGTCATGGGGATATGAAGGTTTCCTACAATGGGGGTACCCCCAAAATGCATCAACATGGATGGTTTATCATGGAACATCCTATTAAAATCTATTAAAATGGATGATCTGGGGGTACCCCCTTGACTTAGGTAATCTCCAGCAACTTTGGTGATGATGAGTTCTTAAGCGTGCTAGACTTGCATGGCCAACGATTTGAATCCAGTGAAATCCACTGTTTGGATGGTTGCTGCAGTAGCAAGGAAGGAACATTAGGAACACCAAGCAGCTCAGGATTTTGGATGGTTCAGGGGCCTGCAATGTTATTCCTTCCGTCCCTTCCCATTCTTTCGTTTGCGATTGACCTGGTGTTTCCAAGGCACTCATTCTCTTCAGCTTGTTGTTCACACAGAGCTTCAAGGTAAATTCCAGCCTCAGACTGCAGCAGTGTGCAAGGCTTTGAATTACAGACATAATTACAGAAATATCTGGAGGATTCTCCCGTGGGATCCCTAGAACTCGTAACGATAGGTGAGTGGTTCCCTGCATTCCCTCTGGACAGCCCTTATGCTCGTGGTGTTGGTCATGAGCAACAGGTGATTGGGCCATAGGCCTGATTTTTCATAAGCAGTTGCTTGATGTTGCTTGCAGTTGGCTCGAACAGGGCCTGCATTTGTACATACAGAAACAGTCGAAAAGGCAACCGCTTGAAGCCTCCCAACTGCGATCCAGATCTGTCCAGATCTTTTCTCCATGGAAATTCACCAAGGATGTTGTAATCGTGTCGGTTCCAAAGCTGGCAGCTAGGAATAGCTAGGGGTGTTTCAAGTCAGGAGCAGCTTATGAAGTAAAGCAACATGTCAAGTAGAGCAGGAGAGAACCGCATTGGTCACCGGCTGTCAGATTGAATTTATCATGATCTACCCTAGGATAAACTGACATAGACACATAGATGTTTTCCAAACCCATGGCTTCCGTTTGGAAATTGTCTAGACATGGAAATGATCTTGATCAAAACCTCAATTGCTGAGATCTTTTCTTGAAGCCATGGCCAATGGGGCTGTCCCCGGAGCGAGTTCCTTACCGAACGGGGCTGTCCCTGGTCACGCTCAGCACGCGCCACTGGCCACCACTACCTGGCAGTATGAGCAGCTTGGAGTTTGTAGATGACCTGGCAGTAGAAAATATGGGTTTGTCTAAATGGGGGTTTCCATAAATGGGGGTACCCCAAAATGGATGGTTATATATATATATAATGTTGGCTGCCTAATAGTAATTACCCCCCCCTAAATTATTTATTTATTTATTTTATTTTAGGGGGGGGCCAACCTTCCTATAATAATTTTTGGGAATCTATAGCTGGGATCATGATATGTATCTGATAGATTCTCCATGGTTTTGTTGGTTTCTGATAGATTCTGAATGGATTCGGTTGGGTTTCTGAGAGATTGGCGAAGAGTTGGCAAGGCGGAAGTGGACATGGAAGTGGGGGCAGAGGTGGTGGAGGCGAAGGAGGAGGACGAGGAGGAGGAGAAGAAGGAGAAGGAGGAGAAGGAGAAGGAGGACAACAAAATTGGAGTTGCGGAAAAAAGTTTCCACTATTGCCATGCCTGGTGCAGGTTTGTTATTGCTATTCTGGGGCTTGCAAAGGGAGTACCCTTTGTGGACCTGTTTTCTTGCTTTTTTTAATAAGGGTTTTATAAGGAAATCAGCTGTTTGGTAATTGGATCAGATTTCTGGAATCTAAGCTTTTGCTAATCAAAAGTGAAGGCTGCTTTGAAAAGGATTTGCTTTACTTGACTCTTTTGGCAATACTGAAAGTAAAAAAGTAAATGGAGCTAATTGACCTTTAGTATTGGAGGAAAAATTGGAGTTGGGAAGAAAGTTTCCACTATTGCCATGTTGGGTCCACTATTGGCCATGCCCTCTGGACAAGGTCTGAACATGACTCTTTTGGCAATACTAAAAGTAAATAGAGCTAATTGACTTTTAGTATTGGAGAAAAATTGGAGTTGCGGAAAAATGTTTCTACTATTGACAAGATATCACTATTGGTCAGACAACATATATAATGGAAAATAATGGACAATCCTATTAAAATGGATGATTTGGGGTACCCCTATTTTAGGATACCTCCAAATCTAATGGTTTATCATGGTTGATCATCATTTTTCTTTGTTAAAATGTATTTTGTATACCCTATGAGGTCAGACAAAGCCATACTGTATCCTCTCTGAATCTATTTGACTGGATTGTGTGCCAGAATTATACTACACTGTACACAGACATATATACCACACATTACCACATTATACCACCCATTTTCACACTCCCAGTTCATGAAAATGGGCTAAAAATCATCATTTTCCATAGTTCAACCACCATTTTGCCCATGAATTCACCATGTTTATCCATTTTTCCATGGTTAAGCCACCAATTTTGCTCCTAGGCCGGAGCCGCCCAAGCGCGGCCTGGGCTTCGCCTGCTGCACGGTGCGACAGAAGCCCGGGAGTGTCGAGATGCCTGGGCCCCGCGAGGAGGGTGCGGAGGGGTGGAGTGGAACGATACCTGGTGAGGTTGAAGACCTTGTAATGTGTGTATTATATATAATTATTCATAATATATATATATATTATATATATATATTTTTATGTATATATATATATTCATTATATATATTAATTCATATATATAATGAATATTATATATAAATTCACACATATATATATATATATATATATATATATTATATATATATATTCACATATATATAATACATATTGAATCATATTGATTTATATTGTATGGTGTAAAGACAATTTAAAACATCTACGCCTGCTTTCATATACAATACTACATATTCAGTATCTAATTATTGCTGATAAAATGTCATTAGATCAAAGCCAATTCTTTCACGCCTTTCTCCAGGACGAGCAGGAGAAGAAGGCGAAGCGACGAAGCGTCGACTTCAGTACCCGGAGGGGTTCTACCTTGAGTTGAGCGTAGCAGCAACGAGTAAATGTTTGTTCGTTTTTTTTAAAAGAGCAGTTGTCAAAACAATTGCGCAAACCTTTGATGCAAGTTTAAATCATCCCCTTGCAACCCTTCAGCAGAAGACTTTTGAAAACATACAAATCATATTCATTTGAGTGTGTCTTAGAATGTAGAAATGCGTTGTGTATAGCCTCAAAACTGCCATTTTAACAGGGAAAATGATATACGACCAATGAATACTAATGAGTGGATATCGGGGTGCCATTGTCAGAAATAGCCATATTGGACCAGAAAATGGGTGGTGTTTCACTAGTCGATGTGGTGGAAGGGTCAATGATCCGAGACTGAAAAACTCACCAAACTTGGGGACTATCAATCAATATTTTCAGCCTCGTGATCTGGTCACTTCTTTGGGAGAGTCAAACTGGGATTTACCCTCCACTGGCAACTTGCAAAATCATCAAACTCAATGGGGAGTTTTGAAGCCATGTTTGACTTTTAGGCAATCCCCAAAGAGATGCCGATTTGAGTGTTTTCCAGGAAGTGAGTTATAGATGACCATTTCCATAGTTTCCCACTTTTCTATGACTTGGGCTGACTACAGGGCCCCCCCCATTCGTTGACTCCATGCCCGGCCTTTTTTTTGCAGGTGATTTGGGACACAGCAGATTTGACTTGGTGGGACTTTCAGCGGAGAAGATGGAAAACCCTGTGGCCACTGGTCCCGAGGATTTCAGCCCTTGAGGTTACGAGAGAATATGAGAGAATGATATGGCTTTGTGGGGATTTCATGGTGATTCAATGGGGAAACCACCTATTTTTTATCCAAGTTCATAGGAATATAGCAGGATATGAAACCTAGATATGATGTTTGGGATTCTTTGGGTGTGTCTGAACATGTTTTTTTTTCTTCCTTAAATAGCATTCTTAATAGGGAAAATGTCCTCATAAACCAATGGATTTGGGGTGAATTTGTAGCTGCAGATGCAGGAAGATATGTGCAAGGATTAAGTTGTTTCAGTCTATCCATGATTAGCCATGGAATTTGGATGCATACAGGACAAAAGGATACAAACGGTTGGTAAAGTCACTGATGTCACCGGGTTCATTTTGAGCCCATTTGCTTGTGAATGACTGAGGTTGATGAGAACCGTGTACTTCCGCTACAAGAGCGTTCAGGACTGCTGGTTTCCTTGTCATGAGAGAGCGGTGTGACCCCGCTCGCCTTTCGTACTCCTCTGGAGCAACAATAAGAAGAGCTTCGATAGTTCAATGTAGTCAAGAGAAAAGGATAGAAAAGGTACAAATGACTCAGAACTCAGAACGCTGTGTGAAATCGAAATATTGGGCGGCCGCGGCAGCAGCGGCGGGATTTTTATGAGCAGGAGTGGTGGTGGTTGGCGAAGTAGTCCGACTAGTGATGGTAATATGGTAGTCGTGGTGCTGCTGTTCGTGGTGCTGGTGGTGGTTATGATTCTTACTATCTTTGGTATATTTAGCATCAGTATTGTTATATTTGCTACAAGTATTATCAGTATTTATATAGATATAGCGACACACTGAAACTTAGAATGCGATTTTGGAAACGGCGCGCTGCAAAAAAAGTCGGGGAAATGCCAAAAAGTGAGGCCTGCACTTTTTTTGCCCCGTTTTTTCAGTCGAGGCATCTTAGTAATGGAGATCTTAGAATGCGTGCCCACCGAATTGTTTATCATATAATTGTCCTTCTATCATGGTTTTGAGTGGGAATTGTCAGGTCGCCGCGTTCTAGTAATGTAAACTTAGAATGCCGGCATCTATCTTGTGATTTTCACCAACAACGGATGTTATTTTTCAAGTTTTACCTGCATTTTGGACACATTTTGCATTTTTTTTGGGGTGTTGGTTCTTACTGTAGTCAGGTTTCATCGATCTATTGAAATATGACCACATCTAAGTTTGATCAGAAGATTTTACTTCCATCATGGTTTTGGCATGTTTTGATTGTGTATTTTCAGGGGGATGCGTTCTAGTAATGTAGACTTAGAATGCCGGCATTGATTTTGTGATCTTGATGAAGGATGCCATTTTTTGGGTTTCTTGCCCAAATTTCTGACAGTTTACAAACATGTTTGGACCCATTGCCATATATTCCAATGTATTTTCCAAAGTTTTTACATTTATATATTATATATACGGTAACTACATTTAAATATACGGATTTTCAAATATACGAACTGGTATTTTAGACTACCCCCGGGAAAGTTTTCCGTGGTTCGCCCGGCCACTTGAAAATAAGGTTTAAAGAAGCTCTATGGAGGATTTATGAGGATTTATGAGAGATTTATGGTGGATTTATGGAGGATTTATGGAGGATGTATGGAGGATTTATGGAGGATTTATGGAGGATTTTATGGAGGATTTATGGAGGATTTAAGATTTATGAAGGATTTATGGAGGATTTATGAAAAAAAAATATGGAGGATTTATGGGGAATCCATGGAGGATTTATGGAGGATTTATGGAGGATTTATGATGGATTTATGGAGGATTTATGGAGGATGTATGGAGGATTTATGAAGGATTTATGGAGGATTTATGGAGGATTTCTCGAGGATTTATGGAGGATTTATGGAAGATTTATGGAGGATTTATGGAGGATTCATGATGGATTTATGGAAGATTTATGGAGGATTTATGGAGGATTTATGGAGGATTTATATGAAGGATTTATGGAGGATTTATGATGGATTTATGGAAGATTTATGGAGGATTTATGGAGGATTTATGAATTTATGGAGGATTTATGGGATTTATGGAGGATTTATGAGGGATTTATGGAGGATTTATGAGGGATTTATGGAGGATTTATGGAGCATTTATCATGTATTTATGATGGATTTATGGATGATTTATGGAGGATTTATGGAGGATTTAGGGGGATTTATGGAGGATTTATGGAGGATTTATGGAAGATTTATGGAGGATTTATGGAGGATTTATGATTGATTTATGGAGGATTTATTGATGCTGCTTGCTGCGGATAGTTTATTGTCCAGGTGGCAGCTCTACTTTGCTTTTTGTATGAACTTATATGAACTTGATTTTTTGCGAGTTTTTCGTTTTTCCGCTTTTTCTCAAGGTTCCTCCTTCGCAAGTCGCAGCAGAGCCTGGGCCACAGACATGTCATTCATGTCCCAGTCGGCTTTTCTTTGTATTTCGTGCCAGTTCCTGCTTCGTCGAATGGAGGATTTATGGAGGATTTATGGAGGATTTATGGAGGATTTATGATGGATTTATGAAAGATTTATGGAGGATTTATGGAGGATTTATGGAGGATTTATGAAGGATTTCTGGAGGATTTATGGAAGATTTATGGAGGATTTATGGAGGATTTATGATGGATTTATGAAAGATTTATGGAGGATTTATGGAGGATTTATGGTGAATTTATGGAAGATTTATGGAGGATTTATGGAGGATTTATGGAGGATTTATGAAGGATTTATGGAGGATTTATGGAGGATTTATGGACAAGTTTTCCGAATTTTGATGTTTGAATTTAGAATGCCGCCGAAGACCATTGAAAACCAATGAAAAACAATGAGTACCAAAGAAAAACAACAGAAACACAAAAAAAAGACAATGAACAAAAACAATGATAAGTCAAGAACGACACATGAAAATTATTGAGAACCAAAGAAAAATCTATGAACACATCAAGGAAAGACCAATTACAATGGAAAGCCAACGACAATTTTGCCAGCATTCTAAGTTACTGTACTTTTTAGCAGGGACTTTTTGCCCCTGTTTTTTACGAGTTTTCCATCTTCAATGGGGAAGGAAACAAGAGACAATTTTAAAGATTTTACTTCCATCATGGTTTTGGCATGTTTTGATTGGGTATTTTCAGGGGGATGCGTTCTAGTAATGTAGACTTAGAATGCCGGCATTGATTTTGCGATCTTGATGAAGGATGCCATTTTTTGGGTTTCTTACCCAAATTTCTGACAGTTTACAAACATGTTTGGGCCCATTGCCATATATTCCAATGTATTTTCCAAAGTTTTTACATTTATATATATTATATATACGGTAACTACATTTAAATATACGGATTTTCAAATATACGAACTGGTATTTTAGACTACCCCCGGGAAAGTTTTCCGTGGTTCGCCCGGCCACTTGAAAATAAGGTTTAAAGAAGCTCTATGGAGGATTTATGAGGATTTATGAGAGATTTATGGTGGATTTATGGAGGATTTATGGAGGATGTATGGAGGATTTATGGAGGATTTTATGGAGGATTTATGGAGGATTTAAGATTTATGAAGGATTTATGGAGGATTTATGAAAAAAAATATGGAGGATTTATGGGGAATCCATGGAGGATTTATGAAGGATTTATGGAGGATTTATGGTGAATTTATGGAGGATTTATGGAGGATTTATGGAGGATTTATGATGGATTTATGGTGGATTTATGGAAGATTTATGGAGGATTTATGAAGGATTTATGGAGGATTTATGGAGTATTATGGAGGCTTCATGGAGGATTTATGGAGGATTTATGGAGGCTTCATGGAGGATTTATGGAGGATTTATGGAGGATTTATGGAGGATTTATGGAGGATTTATGGAGGATTTATGGAGGATTTATGAGGGATTTATGGAGGATTTATGAAGGATTTATGGAGGATTTATGGAGGATTTATGATGGATTTATGAAAGATTTATGGAGGATTTATGGAGGATTTATGGAGGATTTATGAAGGATTTCTGGAGGATTTATGGAAGATTTATGGAGGATTTATGGAGGATTTATGATGGATTTATGAAAGATTTATGGAGGATTTATGGAGGATTTATGGAGGATTTATGAAGGATTTATGGAGGATTTATGATGGAATTATGGAAAATTTATGGAGGAATATATGGAAGATTTAGGCAATTCATTTGTGAATACTAAAGTGGAAAGAACGTTCACCTTATGTATTCGTTTTCAATTAGGCAATTCACTTGTGAATACTAAAGTTCCAAGAAAGTTCGCTTTATGTATTCGTTTTCAATTAGGCAATTCATTTGTGAATACTAGAGTTCCAAGAAAGTTCACTTTATGTATTCGTTTTCAATTAGGCAATTCATTTGTGAATACTAAAGTTCCACGAAAGTTCACTTTATGTATTTGTTTTCAATTAGGCAATTCATTTGGGAATACTAGAGTTCCAAGAAAGTTCACTTTATGTATTCGATCAGGCCACCCAGCAGCATGGCCTGACATTTCATCTTCGTTTTTCAAGTATCATGAATCGGATTCATGATGAATAATATAGAAGATGAAATATCAGGCCATGCAATGATAGATCATTCAATGCAAGTCTCTCTTTGTGCAGGGCCACTGGTCGGGAGCAACATGGACCTTCCGGAACAACCTCCATCAAACAGTCAGCCTGCTGACCCAGGTTTGTGTGACAGTCAGCCAGCTGACCCACGTTTGTCTGACAGTCAGCCAGCTGACCCAGGTTTTTCTGACAGTCAGCCTGCTGACCCAGGTTTGTCGGACAGTCAGCCAGCTGACCCACGTTTGTCTGACAGTCAGCCAGCTGACCCAGGTTTTTCTGACAGTCAGCCAGCTGACCCAGGTTTGTCTGACAGTGAGCCTGCTGAGCAGAATCAGGCTCAAGATTCAGCCGGTCAAGATGAAGAGATGCAAGCTCAAGAAGGACCCAAGCCTGGAATGCAGGATGTTCTCCTCATTCCACAACGAAAGCTATACTCGGTCAGTCTTTCGATGTTCTTCGTGATTTTGCTTTGGGATGTCCTTGGAACGCCAAGGCCGAATGTGAACCCTGTTAGATCATTCTATGAGAGTCTCAGCAACCATCACTAATTTTATTTCTTAAAAACTTAGTTAATTAACTTTAGTTATTTTTCGATTTTTAAATAGTATTAATAATAATAGTATATTATAATATTGACGATGAAACTGCTTGCATTGATTCATTGATGATCTTGAGTGTTTGAATCTGGGTGCTACAGTGTTTAATGGCAGTACTCGTTTTGATTGACCCAACATTTGCTTTCTTTGCTTAGGACATTCTCGAACCGGAAAGTCCACAAGATCGACAGCGTTTTCAATTAGGCAATTCATTTGGGAATACTAAAGTGGAAAGAAAGTTCACTTTCTGTATTCGTTTTCAATTAGGCAATTCATTTGTGAATGCAAAAGTGGAAAGAACGTTCACTTTATGTATTCGTTTTCAATTAGGCAATTCGTTTGTGAATGCTAAAGTTCCAAGAACGTTCACTTTATGTATTTGTTTTCAATTAGGCAATTCATTTGTGAATACTAAAGTTCCAAGAAAGTTCACTTTATGTATTTGTTTTCAATTAGGCAATTCATTTGGGAATGCTAAAGTTCCAAGAAAGTTCACTTTATGTATTCGTTTTCAAGTAGGCAATTCATTTGTGAATACTAAAGTTCCAAACAAGTTCACTTTATGTATTCGTTTTCAATTATGGAACCAAAGAAAAATCTATGAACAAATCAAGGAAAAACAAATGAAAACCACAGAAAAACCAATGAAAAACCAAAGAAGGAACAATGAAAAACAATGGAAAGGCAAAGACAATTTTGCCAGCATTCTAAGTTACCTTTTGCCAGGGATTTTTGGTCCGTGTTTTTTCGAGGGTTTCATCTTTAATGGGGAAAGAAATAAGAGACAATTTTGAAGAAAAAAAGGAAACCAGTCTTGAGGTGCCTTGGATCCTGTATGTTCACAAAACCCCGTGAATATGCAGTAAATTGCATTTTTTCTTGCATATGTATCTGGCATATGTTCTGACATTCTATCTGGGATATATTCTGACATTCTACCTGGGATAGATTCTGACATTCTATTTCTATCTGGCATATGTTCTGACATTCTATCTGGGATATATTCTGACATTCTACCTGGGATAGATTCTGACATTCTATTTCTATCTGGCATATGTTCTGACATTCTATTTCTATCTGGCATATGTTCTGACATTCTATCTGGGATATATTCTGACATGCCGTGTAGCCAGTAATCTACCATGAAGCCGCATCGAAATCTGCAACCCAAATTCGATGCCAAAATAGAGGCCTTTCTTTGAAGTTTCCAATCAACTCTGGGCTTTCCTCTCCTCTGTTTTTTGCGTGGGATCTTTCTTTCAAGGTTCCAGGCAGCGTTCGGTTTGTAGTCGATGTGCGGAAATAGGTTCAAATCGTTGGGCAGTGTTTTTTACCCTCTGGCCTGCAGTTTGGATGTGATGTTGGTGCTCAGCTTTGGGCTCAGTGACATATTTGAACGGTTAATTTTGCAGCGAGCAGAAATAGTAACGATGGCCGATAGCAATGTACTGTCGATCACGTTTGTCAACGCCCTCAGCGGCGACGGCATTGAAATGCAAGTGGCCGACCCAGGCGGGCATAGAACAAATGGCTTCAGTTGTCGTGGTTTGCCCTGGAACTGTATCGCAATTTCAGACACATACCAGCCAGTTCAAACTGCTTTGTTTTGGCCAATGCGTGCTGAGTGCTGATCGGCACTTTGTGTTGAGGTGATACCTGCATGTGGTTTTACTTGCTTTCCAAGCCCCTTCGGACCTGGCTGCGCTGCCTACACCCATTTCCCGGAGCTGGCGAAGTCTATCTCCTTCACGGTGCAAAGCTGCTGCGCTCTCATCGTGATTGGATACTGGCAGGGCGTCCCCGGGAGATCGGCTATGTTCGGTGCTTCCGGGGCTGATGCGCAATGCCGCAATCAGACGCACGGGCCTCAGGTGATCGATGAACGCGTGATATTTCCAACGTGTTTGGCCCATAGGCTTCATGCCACTGAATTGACATGTCTTTCTGCTGGTGCTGAAAGGCGACGCATTACTCTTATGCGTCGCGCTGAGGTTAAATTTTGCGCCGCGCTGCGGATCAAGAGCGTGTTGCCTTTTCGCCGCTAAAAAGTATGCCTGCTGCCCCTGGCGCTTTTTGCACCGTGTTCTTTGGCTATACGGGTTTCCAAAAGCTAAATTTGATGTCAATACAGCATCAGCTGCGGGGCTTACCTCAAACCATTTTGTAAGTTTATCATCTACTGTTGCATTTCCTCTTCGCTGGCGGTGTGCTGCCTATTGAGAGCCATGCCTTGGATCCTCTTCTGTTCAATGTTTCTTTGTCAATTCCGCGGCCCTTTTAGCTTTATCTCTCGCTCAAGTGTTCAACCTTAACCTTCGGCCTTTGACCGCCATGGGCAAGAACAACTACAGGGCAAGGGTGGTGGCAGCACGCGTCGCCGCGAGCAGCCGGATGCCGTGAGCGACAACGACGAGAAGAAGAAGTGGGAACCCAAGTACTTGCAGGCCGTGGACTCCAAGTGGCACTTTGGGAAAGCATCACTCAGGCCTTATGCCTCCGAAAGCGGAAGCCCTTTCTACACGAGGGGAATGTCGGATGCTGACCACCTGGCCTTGCGCAATGTCCTGGACCGCCTGAGCCCCAACACCGCCGGGGCGTGCAACAGCATGGGCGTTGCCCTGAGCGAAGCCGGTGGCACTATCAACATGATGACGGACTTTGTGGACCGTTACCTCAATGATCCCGTGACGTGCTTGCAGAAGCTGGGCCTTGACCATTTGGCCGCCGACATGGGCAAGTCCAAGGCCAAGCAGTTACGCACGGCCGCCCAAGCTTTCTATCTGGGATATATTCTGACATTTTATTTGGGATATATTCTGACATTCTACCTGGGACTGGGGATATTCCATCCTATATATGTATGACTGTGGTGCAATATATTTGTTTTTAATTGTTTTATATCAACCAATTCTGATTCCTGGGATGATAGTGAGCAGCGTTCAAAAGCTTGGTTGTGATTGGTTATTACAATGGGTCCTACTACCCAGGGAATCTGGGACTGTCATCATCCATTATGGAATCCCTTTTAAGGATTTAAGGGGTTCCCAAAAAGATGCCGGTGTTTCCAGAGTCTATGTAGATGATCGTTACCTTCTCATTTCCAGGTTTTCAACTCTCCATATTCTGAGTTTGCTATGGGATCACCCATGACCACTGCAGTGATGGCTGCCCCTTTCTGTTTCAGGAGAGCACGGAAGGATGGCCCGAGGGTCCGGAGAGGGAGAAAGTTTGGGTGGATTGACACTTGGATGGCATTGGGATTGGGATCGCGGCAAATCTGGAGTGACACTCTGGGTCCCCGGGTCACGGTGGTTCGCTGAACAATAGGGGTGGGATTTCGGTAGTCAACCATGGCGAGCAAATCCCCGAATTACGTGGAGGTTTTGTCATGGAAAATGATTGAACTAAGTAATAGCAAAATGGAAGGCAATGGTCTTGGGATTGGGATTTAACCATGAAACATTGCTAGGGATTTAAGCAGAAAAAAACATGGATTTTGTGGCCAAATTGGGTTTTAGTGGATAACTTGGATAACTTAACCGACTAAGCCAACTTGGGATTTTTCATCGCCAAAAATTATCCATATCCACAGATTTTACGTATCACTTTCTATCCAAACTATCAAAGATTCCATGTATGGGTACATATTCTAATCGTTTGCCACACTTGGAATGTAATATAGAATATGATTTTATATGTATCTGTATGTATCTTTTACAAGGTATACAACCTTAGCCAGGTGTATATCCCAATTGTGCCGGTGTGGGGGGCCACCTTCCTGTGTTTTTGTTGATCAAACGCCGCATTTCTGGAATTTCTGGTGAATATCCCAGTTCATGTTAGGTCCTTGAAGTCCTTTCCACCATCTTGTTTCCTGGTTCTACCGGTGGTCAAACCTTGACTTTTTTTGGCCAGGCGTTCGTCATCCATTGTTTTTTGTACTCAAGTTTCGCACATGTTGCTACTGTTGCTATGAAAAGAACCCAAGGTTCCCCAGGTCCTAGAGGTCCTAGCCATTGCCTCAGGTCACACGGTGAGCGCTCGAGAACTGCGGATCCATGCTGAAGAGGCGAAGGGTCTCTTCATCAAAGCCGGTCAGGCGGGGGACGTCGATGGGTTAACAAAGGCAGTTAATGATGCAGTTTTCTGGTAATTTAACAGTTTGCTATGGAAAATCACCATGTCGAATCAAGGATTCTTTGGGTGCAGTAAGCAGGGAAATTTCTTCCTACCAGTGTCCCAGACTAAAGCTGTGTTACCGACATTCATTTGGCATCCTTTGGCCGCCTTCCATCTCCTTTCTATATGTTCAATACCTTTCCCAGCCGTTTCTTACAAAACGGTCGTTTTCTCCACCCAAAACCAAAAATGACCGGGTTTGCGCCTACAAAATGGCAGTGGGAAAAGGGCAGTTTTGGCTCTCTTGCTGGCGGGGAAGGGGCTTTGGGTTTCCAAATTTTCTGTAAGACCATGAAAGCACATTTTTGGATGTCAATCTTGTTGTGGATTTAAGAGATTCAAGACGGTTGACAAACACTACCATTTTGTAGCCCATGAAGTCGCAATGGTTTATGGCCTTACCATTTTGTAGGCTGGAGAGCTGGTTCCACGACCAGTTTGTAGACAAAGGGCTGCATACACCACAAAATGGACCAGAGTAACCCCACCCAGGAAACGGCAAGGAGGATCATATAATTGTCTATACATGAATATGTTTTACCGGTAACCATTTATAGAAATTGGAGGTCACCTTTGCAATCAATGGGATTTTCTGGATGCATAATGGGGACCGTCGAGAAATTACCACCAATTTTATTCAAATGGCAAACGTTTTTGTTCGACTATTTTGTGAAATTAATCATATTATTTTTGCCTATCTACATCTCCATACCATCCTCCAATCACGAATTTACTGCTGGAGGAAACCCTGGTTTCACCATGGTTTACCATCCAAAGATCTCAGTTTTTCCATGCCTTTTCCATAGTTTTCCATGGGTTTTCCATTGTTTTCCATGGGTTTTCCATGGGTTTCCCTTGACCCAACGAGGTGATGAGTGCCATGGTGGGCACGCTGCCTGATGCCTTCACCAACGAGTTCCTGAGCCTCACTGACCACCTTCCCGTGTCGCGCATCGAGGAGGTCTATCGGATCATTCAACGGACCTTCCGGCAGCCGCCCAAGGTGCAACGGATCTCACGTTGGGAGAGCTGAACTGAACCAACATGCTTTGGCAATGTGTGGATTTGGGATATATAATTATTATAGTTATTGGATCAAAACTTTAGTATGTAATTTGATTGTGTTTGTGCGAACCGTGCCATACTGTGGTTGTACACAATAGATAACAAACTAAATTAAATTGATGTTTGTGAATTCCTCACCAAGATTTTCTTGAGTAAAACATGACATTTTGTCAAAATAAATCCCATAATGGGTGGTTTTCAGTGTTTGTTTTAGTTGGGGGGATATGTAAATATAATACGATCCCAATCATTGTTTTATCTCCCCGATCCTTGTTTCTTGCGCCTTGAATCTCAGTAACTAGCTGCGTGGTTTGAAACCAAACAACTACCATTGTTAGATTTTTGGATTGTTAGTTGGGGGTATGGTTTGGTAGACTGGTAGAAGACCAGTTTCTTTACACGTTCAGAACCCATTTATTGTTGGTCAGAACTCCAAAAACATGTTTGGTGCAATCTTATATATATATATATATTATATATATCATATATCTGCATAGTCATTTTTTATTGTTCATAGTTGAATCCCCATTGATATTGGGTTAAATCCTGTTTATTGTTGGATAAGTTCCATCAATGATCCTGTGTCTTTGAACTCTTTTTTTTGTTTACGTCCTAAACCGGAAATTGCTGGCACTTTTTCCTATTGAATCAACGGATCAAATCTCATTAGAATCCTACTCAGACTCTACTTAAACTGATTCATGTCATCATGTCGTTTGTGGAGCAAACACCTCAGTTGATATTTTAATATATGTTATATAAATCCGGTGAGAGTTGGTTTCGATTTGGAACAATGCAAGTCACATAGAACACTATTTTAATTAACTTGAAACAAATACATAAGAATCAAACCCCAAACCCCCCCAAAAAAGGTGGATGATTGACCACCATCAAGCCCTTTAGGAACTTCTTAAGCCCCAATTTGTTCGGGTACCCTGGGTCCCACAGGTGATCTTCTCCGAGTTCGATCCAGAGCCTTTGGCCTCGGCCTCCATCGCCCAAGTGCACCGCGCACGGCTGCGGAGCAACGGGAAGGTGGTGGCTGTGAAGGCCCCAAAGGGGGCCTGGGCCCCCTGGGCGCGTGAAAGTTGAAGTTGATCCGGAAGAAATTGGAGCCATGGGTAAATTTGAATGTAGTCTTTAATCATCAAGAATGGTGGATTGAAGCACCAAAACATCCTGGATTGAAGCTTTGAAATGTGGAAATCTGCGAAACATAGAGTGGATTTGAGTATGAATCATGGGGATTCAGAGATTCACGTATCAATGATTAAGTTCTTGTTTAGGATTTACATGGATTTACGCCATAAAGATAGGCTTGAAGCGTCTACGAAAAACGGGATGGGGATGGTTCAGCAGGTATGATTTTTGCAACTGTATGCATGACTGGTGTGAATATGACACCGAACTATGTTGGTGAATGTTGGTGACATATCGAAAAGACCATACTGTATCCTAAACAATGATTAATTGATATTAATTGGACAGTATTACAGTATTTTGGATTGAAGTCAATATAAGTCAGCAAATATGTTAGGGTGGATGTGAATGTTGAAATATACTGGCATGGCTGGAACTTGATGCATCATGAATATATATATATATATATATAATATGTTTAATTTGTTGGTATTTTACAGACGAGACGTTGGGCATTGGCATGGCATAATCATTTTAGTTTGTGTTTGCTTCATAAGCAGGAGTTGTCGCCAACTAGAAGTGGGGCAACCCTGGAATTCTGGACATTCGCAATGATGGTGATCAGCTTTGCTGTAAAATCACCAATTGATAGATGATTTTCACGTCTAAATGCTGCACAGCACTGTTCCTTTCTCAGTTACTTTACAACTCCGCTAGCGCCATTTATTGTACCAGCCGCGCAGCCCATGTGCGACGTTAAGCGGTACCCCCAAAGTTTATTGGTCAATCACGTTTGGTTTTGAAATTGCCAAGTTGAGACAGTTGAGATCCTTCATTTTCAGACGGACCCGCATCTCACATCAAGTTGCTTATATCCCCTTTTTGACCATCTATAGCCTATGTCTTGTTATCTCCACCGTGGTCGGTAGAATCCTTAAATCTCCATCTAAAATAATCTAAAATCCCCACTCTGGATCATTCTGGTTGGCCTATCATCATTATATCCCCAACAGGACACCAAGTTTGCCTATCGCTTGGCCAGTTGCTTCCTTACTTCCAGGTGCAGCATGATGGCGTGGATCGAATTTTCCTGGAGGCGCGGTTTGCGTAGAGAATCTCCAAATGGGGTTGCGGTTGGCATGCGCATCTTAGTGTTTTTATATGGTTTTATATGGTTTTATGTATGTTTGTTTATGTATGTTTTATACATTTTTATACCAATAAAGCCATAGAATAAGATAGTGAATCATATAGACAGTGGGAAACAAATGTCTATGAGAGTCTATGATCTGATGGTGTATGATTCATTGATTCATAACATTTTCATAACATTTGTATACATTTATCACAACCCAGAAGCCATGGGGCTATGCGAAGCGCTGCTTCCCCAGGATATCGCAACCCTGACGACGGTGGCAGAGCAGGTGGCATATTGGGTGCCTCGACCGGGTGAGTGGATGGTAACCTACCCGTCTTCGGAGGTTTCCGTTTGGTCATGGAGGTACAGACCATGACTTGGTATTGAAAATCCGGTTTGTTTCTGAAATGAGGTTTGTATCAAAAGCCTGGAAAACAACAATCATCAATCCTGTCTCCAAAAATTGATGACGTTGGGAAAGTCGAGGCCCCAGACCTTGATTTCCGGAAATTTGCCGAGGAGCGGGGGTGTAATGGGGTGTATGGTGTATGGACCCATCCATTTTTGACCCACACCCAAGTAATCTATAGTCATATTATGCTGCATGGTATATTTAGTTATATTTATATAATGTTGATTGATTTTGGAAAACATTGGATATGTTTGGGTGATTTCTGGGGACCCACGAAATAAATCGTACTATATTATATAATATATTTATAATATATATATAGTCTGACAATGTACCAACTTCCATCTATGTTTATCAGATGGTTCATGAACATCCCCAATGTCTCCCCAGTATTTCCTTACACGGTAAAATTACTTCACTCATTTGCCCATTCTACAAATCCACTTGACCACATGTTTGTTTAGTATTTCTTTATGTTAGCATATATATTATAAGCTATATTTTTTCCATGTGTTTCATGTATGTCCATATAGTTCATGAGGATTTTCCAGTCGTTTTTGCTGGATTTCCTCCCAATTTCCCCACGAAGAAAAGTACCGCTGGATGTGGGTCAGGAGTGGCGCGACTCGTTGCCGCGGGAGTTGGATTTCTGCCACGAGATGACCGCCTTGGAACGGGCTGGAAACAAGCTGCGGGAGGCAGAGGTGGTGGATTGGTTTGTTGGGACTTAAAAAACTAGCTAGATCTATATCACCCTTTATAATCCTATAGAATCCTATGTAATTTATATATATAATCCTATATAGTCCTATGTCATATATATATATATTATAATATATATTATATATTATATATTATCTATTATATTATATTATATATATTATATTATATATATTATATATATATATATATTATATATTATATTATAATATATATATATAATATTATATTATATTATATTATATTATATGATATTATATTTTATTATATTATATTATATTTTAGTATATTATATTATATTATATTATAATTTTATAATATATATATAATTTATATAGTTTATATATAATCCTATGCAATTGATTTATGGGGGATTATGATAAGCCATTGGGGAAACCAAGCAGTATTTCATGAGATGGGATATGGGTACATCCCCTTTTTAATGGCTCATACGGGTTCGATGGAGATTTATAGTAATCCCATGTAATCCCCTAAAAGATAAGAGTAGCTAAAGTTTGACTAAGATAGTGATGATTTGGACCTGTTCTATCTTTTCGGGTTTCTGTAATGAGTGTTTTCAATGGGTGTTTTCAATGGATGTGAACGGATTTAATGGATGTATTAGCAATGGATGTAAAGGTTTTGGTACGTAGTTATCGCACCCTCAGGAAAGAATCAAAAGGATAGAAATTGGTAAAGGACTACTTGTAATAAACTACTCTTCAAAGAAACCGGTTTGTTGATGATAGTGAGGGGCTATACTATATTTCCTTTATATACAGTTATCAACCAGTATGATGGAATGACAGATGGGGCTTTGAAGGGGATTTGAGTATGGGCCACTTTCATCAGCAAAAAGATATAAGTTGGTAAAACGTGCTAAAATAATGGTAAACTATGTTCCTATCATTTTGTGGTTACTACAATGAATGTTAGTGGAAAAATAGATGGATTTCGTGATTGATTTTGATTTAGTAATGGATGCATGTTCATACCATTACTGTGACAGTAGTCTGTATGGAAGTGGGCCACGGTGAGCCACGAAGAGTTGGGAAGAACTTGTGGACAAGAAAGGGTCTTAAAGGCAATTACATTGCAGAAGAGATTCTTTGTCTGCATATGGGGTACTCCCAAATACACCAGGTAATCAGGTAATCATAATTTTCCCTATTCTTTGATGACCACAACTGAGGGCTATACACCATCTTTAGACGCACCACAACCAGGCGTGTTGCCTTCATCAGCGCATGAACATTAAATGGAACAACTGCGTCCAGAGTGTCTGGAGGTTCTATTTCCCTCCAAAGAAGTGCAACAGCTAATATCTCCTATAATGTTAGTAAAGCAATAGTAGACATACCATTTGGGGTTGGTTTATATCACTCATTTCTGGAGATTATGGGGATGGCTTATTATTAGTGGGTTTACCACATTGTTACATGACATGACTGAGTTCACAAGAAAGACACTGAATACCATCTGGCAATCAAACATGGCAATGGAAAATCTCATTTTATGGAGTTTTTTTCCATATAAACCTCCATATTTTTAACATTAATGGGGGATGTCCAATGGCCATGTTTGATTGTAGGAGGGTATACAGTACAAATAGTCCAACCCCACGGGTGAAAATTGCAGCCTCCGCTGCTCTCAACATGGCCTGTTTTTTTACAGGAAACCTGCTAAAAAATATGACTTTTCTTGGAGCTTCTACCTCCATATTCAGGGGTTCCTGTATACATGTATAAAATGCCTATAATATATATATACATATTATATTATATATTATATTATATTATATATATTATATATGGTATATATATATTATCATATATATATATATATATTTTATTATATTATATTATATTATATTATATTATATATATATATATTATATGGTATATATATATATGTATATTATCATATATTATATTATATTATATTATATTATATTCTATTATATTATATTATATTCTATTATACTATATTATATTATATTATATTCTATTATATTATATTATATTCTATTATACTATATTATATTATATTATATTATATTATATTATATTATATTATATTATATATATTATATGGTGTATATATATATTATCATATAGATATATATATATATATTATATTATATATATTATATGGTATATATATATATATTATATGGTATATATATATTATACATATATATATATTATTATATATATAATATTATATATATATATATAAATACACACAAATAATTATCACATAAATCGCGAGAGGCAATAAAAGTGATGAACCTCCAAAGACATCCAGAGAGAGTCCATCTCTGCCAGGCGGGAAACAGCTGCATTGTGCCCAGGGTCCACAAGGACCTCTGCGGGACACACGTCTTTGTCATGGAATTCATCCAGGGTGGCCCCATCTTGGACCTTGGCAAGGCTGGATGGAGCTGAAGGACGGCAAGCCAGAAGGAACTAAGTTGCGAGTGGGTTATAAATGATATCAAATTTGTATATGGGTATGTATCAATACCTATTAATACCATTTTTAGAGGGATGAACATCCATTTACCAGCTATTTTGATGTGAACTACAGGGGTACAAGGTTTTGACACACTGCCATAACCCCTCAAAAATCTGGGATGTATTTTGATATATCCACCTGTTTCAAACCACTTGGCTACTGTAATTATTCTGGCAACATTTAGGTCCGCTAGCATGGATGTGAAATGATGCGAAAGCTCGCTCGATTTTACAAGAACGTCATCTCTGGGCAGGCAGTTAGTTGATGGGAGGATCTCTGGGACGATGCACATTGACTATTTCAGATACTTTTGGATTTGTTTCAGGTGTTTTATACCTTCTTCTAATACCACCATCACTTTTTAACAGTTTTGTTTCAGTTGTTTAGTGAAATATGGGGATGCTACATGCTCCATGTTTGCCAACATCTAACCACCAATAAGGATCATCCAGTTTTGCAGGGTACATCTACCATCAAATTTCGCGGCAGGCGGAGTTCTGCGAGAGAAACGGGGTGGACAAACACCGTGTCTTGACAGAGCTGCTCCATGCCTTTGGCATCATGGCCTTTAAGGACGGGCAGATCCACCAAAGCTGAGCTTTGGTTTTCACCACTTTTGCTGCTGAAATCTTTGATTTTGCTAGGAAATCGATAAACAGACGATAATAAACATTGATACTTTTCTAGGAAATTGATAAACATATTGATTAAAAAAACAGATAATCAAAATTGACAACCTATTTGCTGATTTCCAGTCTTGGGTCCATCATAATGATAGGCGGTTTAATTGCAGTTTAAGAATTGGCTCTTATTAGTGGCTTTGGATGCTTCACTTAAGCCTTTTCATAGACACAACATAATATATCATAATATCATATAGTATCATTCTTATAAGGCTTATGAAAGGCTTCTTAGCCATCAACAACCACGATTTTAGGGCGAATCCAACCATCATTTTTTCCAGTGGGTCACCTTTTGGGGTGCCGAGTCCCTATGAACTGGTAGACCAATGGATGGACATGGGACCCATGTGGATTGCCTACAAGACTGGGGTATTGGTGGGGTAAAAGCGGGTTCGATCCATACATCGACCAAACATGAAATGGGTATGACGTTTTTTTGTGGTGTTTCATCCCCTGGCTTTGAAGAGCAAAGATGATTTTCTCATTTACGCTTTGCAGCATATATTCTAAATGTCTACAATGTCAACCCCAGATTGATCAACCTTGGCTGATTGAGTAGGGGGATTCCGCAAACAGGTTCCGGATGTCCAACGGGCAAAACGATGAACCAGAACACCACATCTCAACATGTTCCGGTAAAATCTACATATAAACATCTAGCAGGATGTGTTCCCCAAAACAAGGACCTGCAAAAAAAAACAAGACGATCCACCTTCGAGTCAGGACATTTCAATATTTCCACAGCGGTGCCCGTCCAGGACGGCATGTTCCACGCGGATCCCCACGCGGGCAACGTGCGGCTGGTGCTGGATCCCAATGCGCCCGGCGGTGCGAAGCCGGTGCTGCTGGACTGGGGGCTGATCCGGGAGATCACGGATGCAGAACGCTTGGGACTGGCCAAGGTAGGGGATGGGCTGCTGGATTCAACAAGATTCAACCTCCAAAGGGACCCCAAGCCCCCAAGAATGGTTAAGATACGCCTTATATTGAGGGGGGTCACCTTTGGGTGTGGATGCCATCAACATCCATCAATGTTGCTTCTGGGAACATGATTGAATGAAACCAGAAACAAGCATGTAGGTCAAGGATTCAGGAGGGTGCAATGTTTGATTGCCGGCGATTAAACCTTCAAGGTGGATTGTAGTGATTTTTTGGCAAGTAAACGGCAGGTGAATGATGGTTGGACAAGGCATTCTGGGGCTTCACTTGATGATGGATGAACATTCACTGCTTTGACAAAGTGATGGTTCTTATGTTGGAATCAAATGGGGGAGGGGATGTGATACTTGTGCCGTCAAGACTGACATGAAACGGAATCCCAAACCTTGGCTTTGGAAGGTGACAATCCTAGTTCTGGGACATGGCAACGTGTTCTCTGCATTCATTTTTTTGCAAAGTAGTGGCGTAGTTCCCACAGGGAGTCCATCACTCATCCTTTCCGTTCGAAGTTTCTCCAAGCTGTCGATCCGCACAGTTCGAAGGTGTTCCATTCCTTAGCGAACTTTGACATCGCGGGATTGTTCCTGGGTTCAAGAGTTGGTTCGGATGAGGGGATCACAGGAGCAACAACCATTCACAGGGCGGTGTTGGGGGTTCGGAGGGTGCCGGTGTTTCTGTAGAAGTTCAAGGGCCTTAGTAAAAATCAGAAGTTTTCAAAGTGGAAAGAGGACAACAACTGCAGAATTGCGGATCTGTGACTCTTCAGAGCTCGGGACTCTCTTGGTTTTGGGGCATCTGGCCCTATTTTTTTCTGTTCCAAGAAATTAAGAACATTCAATTTTTCCAGGGTACCCAATGCCGCCCTAACAATCATAAACCATCATGTGCAGGAGAAATTCCATGTTGCTGGTGACGTGTTCGTGTATGTTTTTCATCCCCGCCCGGTGTTTGATGTTGATTCCCGACGACCTCAGGATCCGTCAATGCTTATTGTGCCACCACTCTTGGTGATCATATCACACTGCCAATCTTTGGTGGCTGCACCCATGAATTTGAGCTTCAGGTCGATCCAATCATTCGTGATATTTCCATATATTCCACTTTTGATGGATTTTTTTTTGTTAGCGGGTAATGATTTTCATGGCAACTTCAACATGGATCCCTAGTCCAAAACTTGAACAGAAACACGACGTAGCACTGCTGAGGTTTGACGTCTTGGAGTCCCTGGGTTTCAGCCTAAGACAGGACCCATCTCGGTTTGGGGGTTAGATGGGTACCTGTCGAATGCTCGAAAAGTTCGTGCCTGTTCCATCCTGTTCCTACTTTCATAGTGATCTAATTACTGCTTTTTTTGGGGGGGAAAATCCTCTAGTGAAACTGGTTGGTTTCTGGGATCCACACTGGATGATCGCAGGAGTTGTTAAACGACGACCTGAAGCGTGATTTGATCGAAAAGGCCCGCGGCGTTGTCAAGGACAGGCCCAGTTTTTGACGTTTTTGAAGGGAGGGGGTCCTAAAACAGGGATACCCAAATAGCATGTGTTTGATAATAGATAATAGATTCATTTATTTAATCAGGAAAATCTGGCAAACTGATGATAAACTCTGATAAACGATCAATGTTTGAAGAGGTTCCTGAAATGGGGGAGCTCATGCCCGTATGGGATTGTTTGACCATGGAGGATGCCCTGCAGCTATCTTAAGATGGCGGTTTTGATAAGGAAAATGACATCATGATAAACCAGTGAGTTTCAGACTGCCAATTTTGGGATATTATCATATTATATATCTATATATACATATATAATTATATTATATATATACATAAGTGTGTTTGTTATAAAGACATGAGATCAACACTGATTGATATGACATGATATATAAATATACATATATAATATATACCTATATTATATATACGTTATTATATGTATAATATATATTTTATGTAGTATGTATAATACATTTGTATTTATTGATAAGCAGCTGTAACTGGGGACACGTGACTTGAGGACCATTGCAATCAATTCGTCTGGAGCCCTGTGTGAAACCTTCATTGGATTCATCAAACGTAAATTCCATGCAGTTTGATTCAGTTTATCGTCCTATCCATGTATCATCATGTATCTAGTTATATCGGATATCCACCAACCTGTTTATTTGGGGGGCTTAACTAACACAAAAAGACATACAGTATGCCCCCCTGACTCGTTTGTCCTAGGGATGCCATGTGGCCATGTGCATCTCATTCATCCCACTATCCAATAGTACTACGAACATTCATAGACTGTGAATATGAGTGGTACTAAGATGCAAATTGACGTAGTACTAAACTATCTTGAATAACCATTGTTATATTGATAGTATTTACTTTGTTTCTGGGGTTTCATTTGGCCACATCGATCTTTGATTCTGAATCCATTGTTTCGATGATTCTGATTCCATCCTGGTTTGCATTGCCCTTCTCAGGCACATTACCAACAACCAATTGCAACGAAAACAAAGCCATTTGACACGAAATTTTCTTAATACTAGTACTGTTTATATCGGCCCTGCAATCCTCAGCCGGGGTAGGGTTTTTGCCGCCACGACCAGGACACCATCAACCGCCACAAGACCCGCGAGAACGCGCGCGAGGAGCTGGCGGAGTTCAAGGCGCGCTTGAATCGCGCCAAGGAGGACGCCGGAGGCTCGGAAGATCGATCCGGGAGTCGGCTCGGTCAGAAAGGGCGGTCCGACCAGTGGTTGATTGATGAAAAAACGATGGTTTTTTCACATCTGTTGATCTTTTTTAACCAACATGTGGATGTAAGTGGATAGAACTTATAAATGATTTTTATCCATAAGAACTCTGAGAAAATATCCTGGGGAAAAATCTAGAACAATTCGGGCTTTGGGCTTTGGAAGTGTGTGATCTTTTTGGCAGTTGGGATAATTGTGTGGGGTTTCATGCTGGCTCTTTTTTGGGGAGATGTGCGTTCTGAGATATAGGTCGTTCAACATGAACATTCGACGGTTTGATCATGAAAAACAGGTGTGCTGGCTTCGTTTGTCATCGAAACAAAATCTTGTCCGATCTTCAGTGGGATGGCTTTTAAACATTGCTGGTGATTTGCAAGGTTACCCTCTGGTAAACTAATATAGCTACTGAAAATGGCCATTTATAGTGGATATACCCACTGAAAATTTTGATTTTCCATAGTTACGTTAGTTTACCAGAGGGTAACAATCAGGCCAGGGTGAACATCCAGAACCAGCTACGAGCATAGTTTAATGCAGCGCAGGTATGTAATTGGTAGAGTTCTGACCCCTACGCAGAAGTCAGGGTAAGAGTGCATATTCAAATGCTGGGTCTTGACATATACATATTAGTATATCTACATTTTGTTCAACTATATTTTATTGACATCAGAAAATCCAATTGGCTCATGATAATCAATAGGAGATGGATGCAGATGAGGGATATCCCTCCATAAGGTGGGATTGTAGTAACCTTCAAAAGTGAGAAGGTGGCCTGCACCAACTGCATTATATAGCCAAGATGTATGTTGTCAAGCCAGATTTGAGATCTTCCGAAAGTACAATGGGTTCATTGTTTTTTGTTGTGAAACTCATTTAAAGGTGTTTCATCTACAACATAGCTTTTATATGTAGAATATATATACATATATATATATATATTATCGTTATATATATATATATGCACATCTACCGGATTCGGTAGGTGAACCCAATGGAGTGGATCCTGAGGAATGGAAGGTTCGATGTCTCCCATCTATTTCTTGGAGGACCGGCTTGGCCATTTGGACATGACAAGGCCATACAAGGCCACATGGATTCTATGTATTGTGTGTATATGGAGGTTTCCTAAAATGGGGGTACCCCCAAATCATCCATTTCAATAGGCTTTTCCATTATAAACCATCCTTTTTGGGGTACCCCCATTAAAGGAAACCTCCATAATATGTTGTCATGGGTGTTCCAGAAAGTATTCCGAAATTGCAAATTTCAGAAGGACAATGATGAACCACCAACAATTGAATACCCTAGTTTTGGACAGACCCATATCTATTTACAGGACATATATGCATACACTGACATGACTATTATTTAACATACATTTGGACTCATCCCTTTCTATTTCTTTATACTATGTAAATATGTATATATATATATATGTATATATATATAACTCAGCATTCAAACATGTATTAATATAGATGTATTAAATTATGTTGAACCACTGACCAGTGGTTGAAGATTCATTCCTGGATCAATACCTTGATTTCTTGGGTGAATGTTTTTTTCCTGGTCATTTTGACGGAAAATGGACTCACCAGCTAAAATGTCACCAGCTGTTTGCAAGGTATCCAAGATATCTAAGAACGGTCCCTATCAAACAGATGGTTACTGTTATAACTATAGGAATACCACCTTATCATGACATGATTTTAAGCATATACGAGTTATTACGAGTTATAGCATTCTATCACCCCAAATTAGCTGTTGGTCAACCCCCCATGCAACTTGGTAACGAAGATCCTATCACTCTGCGCAACTCCTGGGCCGAGAGGATTGGCCCCGATGCATCATTTTCTTCATGCGCATGCTGCAGATTTTGCGCGGCCTGTGCGTGGCCTGCGATCCTTGCGCTGAGATTGTCGTTTGATGTCTGGTGTCTTCGGGGTTCATCACTGGGATTTAGCAATCGAACAGTATTTGGGCATTAGGAAAATGGTGGTATACTGGGATACAGTGAGACAGAATGGGATATAATGAAGATAATATGGAGAAACTTTTACCAACTCACTGCGATGTTGTTGCAGGTTGGTGATTTATTGTAACTTACCTAGATGAGTGCTTCTGACCTGGCTTATCAATTTTTGAAATTTGCATACATTTGCTATGTTTTCTTGGGATACAGCTCAAACATGAATCAGACATGTTGACTTGTTTTAAGATCATAGCACGAATTGTCAGCGGAGAGTTTGTTTGATTCCGCACAACATTCACAAGCCCAGTCATCGCCAGTCAGCCATTGGCTGACTGACTGGTGACTCATGGTAAGTTAGTTTATGGGTCCCAGGGCATAGACTTTTATATATAATTATATATGTATATAGATTCAATCGATGCAACAATTACGGTATCCCACTGAATGGTCCAATGGTTGGTGAGTATAAGAAATATCATCTATCTACAATATATTACCAATGGTATATATCTATAATAATCCCACTTAAAAATCATATTCAAACAGATCGAATCTATCCTAATACTCTTCTTGTTCGCACATCCACCGGAAGGATCCCCAAAAGATAGCGACCTCACCATGAGGTCACTAGAAATGATGGTGAGTTGTGAGGATCATCTTATACTTGGCATATTTATGCCAGCAATCGTGAATTTGTAAAAGAAACATGATCATTATATATATTATATAATGATATTACAATATAATATACAAAAATTATCATAATTTACATTCTCAAATCTCCCAGAATCAAATTGACTTCAGATTTCCAGGGGTAAGACCTATTTCACTATTTGATATTTCTTTATTTGTATATTTGCAATCAAATAGCTGGAAACTTATTACATGATTTCCCAGAGGCTTCAGAGTTTCCCCAAGGATGCGGAAGGCATGCCCTTGCTGAAGATCTTCTCCAGCCATGCCCGAGAGGCCTTACAGGAGGGATCCAGGCGCGTCCGATAGCCTTCGTAGGGCCGTCCGAGGCTTTTTTCAGGTGAGGGGATCAACAAAAAATGGCGGATTTCAGCCAAACAAAAGCAAGGATTGACTTGTTGTTTCCCAATTCCCAAATTTTGGTGGGATTTATACAAGATGATTTGCATGAGGGGAGTATATCTAGGGAATAGGGAATTTCTATTATCCTGCCCTTAAGCCCTTATCAATGGAGTATACTCAGTATGAAGAAAACAGGCAGAGGTCATACCGTAGCAACCATCAAAAAGATAGAAAGTTGGAAACCCGGAAATTATGGGGAGAACATCATCATCATCAACATCCTGGAAAACACTGTTCTATTTTTTTTTTTGGGGGGGTTACTAAACAACCTTTTGAGCGCAAAGTGAAAGTGGAAAGTGAAAGTACTATACTGCAATTACTCAGCTATAGTTGGTATCATCAGCAGGCAACAGATGGGGTATTTCAATCTCCGGAGGGAGATCAGGTGCTATTCCTGGATGCGTCACTTTCTCCGGCTATAGCCGAACTGTTCAGCTTGGTGACTTCTTCTAATTTATCAAGATGTATAATATATATATATACTTATATATTATATTACATAATAAAATAAAATGAGATATACAATCACAGAATGAGAGTCTAAAAGATATAGTGAGATATACAGTATATACAGTCATGTAATGAGATATAGTGATATGTCAATGATTAGCCCCTTGAAGTTGCGCCATTAAAAATGGCTTCCGTTGAGGCGGCAAATGCTCAGCAGCAGCCTGCGCATCTTTGGTGGCCGTGGGGATGGCATTGGGCACGAGACGCCTTTTACCCCTAAGGTGCTCCGCCTGGCCTGGAAGTGAATCCATATAGTCCTCATAAGTTTAACATGGAACCTATGGAACCTGAAAAGTTAGAGTCTGGAAGATCATGTTTTCATAAACCATCCCCCAGTCATCACCATTTTTATGGGTGGTATAAACTTACCATTCCTATTGGATGTCGTGTTTTTTTGTCTGTGGGCTGGGTGTAGATCCGGAAAATCCACCATGGTAATGATCAATGCCTAGGAATCCGTCAAGATGTTCCCGAACTGGCGAAAAAAAACCCGCTTATAAAAGGGAAAAAATGCTATGATCCTCCAAGTTGAGTTGGGGATAGGCTGTAGTCATGTTGAACTAGTTGGATTTTGGCTAGCATTTTCATACCTTGGACAATATGATAATTCTGTTTATCTCATTGGGATTTTCATGTTTTTTCACCGCCATGTTAGATTGGCAGATGGTATTTCGACTGAGCGGTGGCAGACAAAACTGGATCATGGGTGTTTAAGTAAGACTATTTCTACACAAGGGAATGCTGACTGGGTTTGGGTCACCAAATCCATTTTTGGAATCCTTGCCTTCAGGAAAGATCTCTGACCAAGCATGGATCTGGCGGCAAAATTCTGTTCGGACGCCTGTTGTACAACAGCTACTGTAAATAGTAATGTATGTAATATATAATGATAATAATGCTAATAGTAATAATAATAATTAATAATAATAACAACAACTATAATATATATATATATAATATTTATATATATATATATACACATGTGCATTATACTACATACTGCTTGGTTGGTAGGCTCCAAAAAAAGAACTGCTCCCTTTCCTCGTCCCTTTTTCAGGCCAGAGTGAGTCGGGATTCCACTTTGGAATCCCAACTGCAGCAGAAACTGCAGGAGCTGCAGTGTCTGGGCATGTGCTTTTTAGATTTCATGGGCTTCGTGGGTTTGCCTTGGTTTTGATGGGATAACTTGGGTTAATGGTTAATAGTGGTTAATAGTGGTTAATAGTGGTTAATAGTGGTTAATAGTGGTTAATAGTGGTTAATAGTGGTTAATAGTGGTTAATAGTGGTTAATGATATGGTTAATGATATGGTTAATGATATGGTTAATCATAGTTGATGATGGCTAACAATGGTTTGCCCTCCCGTGGCATGAAACATGGCTGGCTGGAAAATACCGAACTAAATGGACGTGTGCATGGGACAATCATCTACACTTGTTTTTTTTTCTAGCAAACCATGTTTGATTACCAGAGGGTACCAGATGTTATGCTTTTGACGGTCTATGGTCTGCGATGCTTTGTCACTTTGCAATTCGGAGTGTTTGAGAGATTGTCACACTATTGGTGAGATGATTACCCTATGGTAATCCATGGGCGTGTTGAAAATTAAACATACATGTAGAACATGATGACTTTCCATTGCCAGGCTTGATTACTAGAGGTTAGATGGGTCAGCCACTTGGAACCAATTCACCAATTCATGGTAGGGTTTTTGATGGGGTGAGGTCTACCAGAAGGTGGGAGCTGATTCATTTTCATCGGGTCGTCTTCTTGATATCCATTTTCATGGGGGAACATGTCGTAAACTCATGTTACCAAATTGATAATGATAATTAATCAGCTTAAACATGCTTAAACCGTGTTGATGAAGCAAGTATTGTTTTTTTGGATGAAGCTCCATGCATAGTGGCTATACAGCCAAAAAATCTCACACCGTGTCCCTGAGGTCGCGGAAGCAGCTGGTGGGCGCTCAAGTGGTGGTGCTCCGCGATAACAAAGTGATCTGCAGCGTCGCGCATGGCACGTGCCTTGGCAAGACAAGGAGGTAGCAGTGGGTGTTGATGAAATATGCTGATTTATTGTGGGATATAATAATAATAATAATAATGATAATATATATATATATATGTATTTTTAAAAGCCGTGATAATTGGGTTTTGTCTCTTTATAAACAATATCATTATCCATCATTTGGGTATGTAACGGTCTTATACTCCAGTCTTATTCTGAAAATCCATGAATATAATCAAGTATATATGTGTATATGTCATGGTCAAAAGTTAGATTAGATTAATCCATTTTGGGGGATGGTCATCAATCTATTAATTTGTTGTTTTCGCAACTAAACGGAATTCCTAATGTTGGTGGGATGACCAAAACCCCTTGGTTTGACCGCGGCAACATAAGAGCAGGTGTCAAGAACCTGTTGGACAATCAACGGGGCTATGAAACTGGTGGCAATGGGTGTATCTGAAACTGGTCTTATACCACAAACTAGTATTTTTGTTCATGGTGAGAATGACGATAACTCATTGCATTTTGGCTTACCCTGTTTTCGATAACCCCGTATTGCCAGGGGTCAAATTTATTGGACCTCCAAAATGGATGGTTTACCCTCCAAAACAATCATAGACCATGAACGTGATCAATTTTTAGTGGAACCAATTGTTCCAATCCCCTATTAGCAGGGTCTATGTTATCCAATCAATCCAGTTTTGTGTGGTATATATATATATATATAGGCGACCTGAATTAACAACCCTCTTCTTTGTACATTGTTTGATATTTTGTTTAATTAGCGGTTTACCACTTTTTAAGAGTGATCAACCATTGTTTCTCAATCCAGGCTTGAGGATTTATCTACAATACTCTCCTGTATTTGGATGGCAAAGTCAAAACATCAACAACAACATAATTCCGGCTTAGTTTTCCACATGTTTCCCACATTTCATCACATCTTCCATATATTCATCCATATATTTGTCAGTTTTTTGTACCCTAACAGGCCTAACATCTTTTTTAAGCCACCAAGTGGTTTCGGGTCCCCGACCTCCACAAATTCTCGCGGATCCAGGTTATCCACCATCGACGCACGGCCGGTCCAGGAGCAGACCCGCTTTCCACTGCTCGGGGCGACCGCAGGGCTCGCGGGGCACCTTGGACCACCGGCGTTCGTTCTTCGGGGGCCGTTCACAAGGGGTGGTGCCGCAAGAAAAATGATGAAAAATGGGGATGTCACGGGAATTCTGGCTGATTTATGATAGCTAAATTGGTTGAAACATCATTTTATATCTCCAATTTCACCCTTGCGTTTGTGGTTGTACACTTCAAGGGGATGATCAGCCAAACATAAGTGGCGGGTAGGGTAATCCTATCCCACTAACATGAAACACGGCCTAAATCGGCCCCAATATGTGTAAATCCCCCCACCAAACCATGTTTCTTGGGATGTTTCAGATAAATTCGGACGAAGGGATTAATTATATTATATTATATTGGGCTGGGATGTGAATAAGTCGAGATCGCCATTTATAATCATCTATTTCCCAATGTGGTACATTCTGCATGGTGGATAGTTGTGACATGGGGAGATCTTTTTAAATATACTGTTGTTTTGGAGAGTCATCCACTAATCAACATTCAACGCTCATCCTATCAAAACAAGAAAAATGATCGGCTTGGTGAGCACTGTAAGGAATCAGGAAGTGTAGTTTGTGTGGCTGCTCCCACACATGGTAGCACAATGAGGGTGTGAAAGAGAAGCCTGGTGTGATCTGAGTATCCCCCAAGATAAACTTAAGGACAATCATGCAAGTGGGATATCATCCACATACAGGGAATGTGAGCAAAACAATGTGTGTTTTTCCCTACCAAAATAGCAAGTTCGATATTTTGAGGTATACGGTACCATATTATAGGCAAACCCATATGATAAACCTCGTTCCCAGTCAGGTTTGGAGGTTGTAGCTCCCTGATCTGCTGGCGATTGATGGTTATATCATATCAGAGTAGCAAGGGTTCCCGTTTCACTCTGGGGGTCTGGAGGTTGAGGGTGTGTTCGCTCGACGTTGCGTTTACGTCCGCGACCGTCCGCAACCGTCCGCAACCGTTCGCAACCGTCCGCGCGAGGTCGCTATGGCTGTGCCTCTGGTAGGTTGTGCAAAAGGGGTCACTTTTGGAGGTTTCACATGTGGCGTTGCTTCGTTTCGCGTGGCAGGCATGGCATTTCGTGACATTCAGACGTGTTTTGTAACGTGTCGAAAGTCGTTTTGTGTGGCAGGCGCAATACTTTTGCATACTTTTGCGATGTTTTCAGAAGATGTGTTCCAGTCTTAGTGGCAGGCACAGCACTTTGGACGTGTACATCTTCATTTTGCGTTGTGATTTTTGCAAATCGCATTGTCAGGGCTGGGTATGGGCTGGGTCAAGTGGTGACAAGGTGCAAATTCCGTGGCAGGCGTGGCATTTTGTGAGATGTGCTGAAAATTGATGGAAGCTTTGCACGAAACATCGATTTGAGGTAGCAAATTTGGAGGTTCATAAGAAAACTCGTAGGAAAACGTCGATTTTGAAGCTACAAAGTATGAAAATTGGAGGACGTCTCGCACGAAATGCTCGTTTTGATGCTCCAATGTGGCCTCGCCGTGTCTATGGGGGAAGCTGCAAAACCTTCCCTTTCGCAGGTTTCCAAGTAGGTTGTCATGTCGTTTTGCGTGGCAGGCGTGACCTTTTGTGACATTATACCAACCTGTTTGATAACGTGTCGAAAGTCGTTTTGTCCCTGGCAGGCGCAGCACTTTGGAGACCTCTATCGTCATTTTGCGTGGCAGGCGCAGCACTTCAGACTTGTCGCATTGCGTGCTCTACACTTTACACTCCGCACTCTACACTCTACACTCCACACTCCACCCTTTACACTTCACACTCCACACTTCACATTCCACACTTTACACTTTACACTCTACACTTTACACTCTACACTTTACACTCTACACTTTACACTCCACACTCTACACTCCACACTCTACACTCCACACTCTACACTCCACACTCCACACTTCGCACTCCACACTCCACACTCTACACTCAACACTTTACACTTCACACTCCACACTTCACACTCCACACTCTACACTACACTGTAAACTCCACACTCGACACTTTACACTCCACACTCCCCACTCCACACTTCACACTCCACACTCCACACTCTACACTTTACACTCCACACACAACACTTTACACCTTACACTCCGCACTTCACACTCCACACTCTTTACTGTACAGTCCACACTCCACACTCTACACTTTACACTCTACACTTTGCACTCTACACTTTACACCCCACACTCCACACTCTACACTTTACACTCCACACTTTACACTTTAAAATGTTCACTCTACACTCCGCACTCTACACTCCACACTCCACACTTTACACTTTACACTCCACACTTTACACTCCACACTTTACACTCCTCGCGTTACACTTGATTTTTGACTCCACACTCCACACTCCACACTTCACACTCCACACTGTACACTTTACACTCCACACGCCACACTCTACACTCCACACTTTACACTTTACACTCTACACTCCGCACTCCACACTCCACACTCTACACTCCACACTTCACACTTTACACTCCACACTTTACACTCCACACTCCACACTTCACATTCCACACTCCACACTCTACACTTTACACTCCACACTTCGCACTCCACACTCTACACTGTACAGTCCAATCTCCACACTCTACACTTTACACTCTACACTTTACACCCCGCACTCCACACTTTACACTTTACACTCCGCACTTTCCACTCCACGCTTTACACTTGACACTTTACACTCCACACTCGACACTCCACACTCTACACGCGACACTCCCCACTTTACACTTTTTACTCCGCACTTTACACTTTACACTTCACTCTCCACACTTTACACTCCACTCTTTACACTCCACACTCCACATTCTACACTTTACACTCCACACTCCACACTTTACACTTTACACTCCACACTCCACACTTTACACTCCACACTTCACACTCCACACTCCACACTTTACACTTTACACTCCCCACTTAACACTTTACATTTCTCACTTTACATCGTGACATTCGTGTCTGCACATCGTGACATTCTTGTCTGCACATCGTGTCGAAAGTAGCTTCGTGTGACAGACGCGATACTTGTGCGAGGTGTCCAGACGATGACCTGCATGTGTCGTGGCTGGCGCATCATTTTGAACGTGATCACTTTCATTGTTTGCCTGGCAGGCGCATCAGCATCATTTTAGACAAGTCGTCTTGCGTGTTTTTGCTGAATCGCGTTTCGGAATCCGTACCATTATCATACGTGTGAGCATTCGGGTTCGTGGGATGCATCTTGTTTCAGCCATTCTAGGAGCATTTGGAGCCGCAAATCCTTGTTGATCAGTCATCATAGGGGTTCAATACAACCTGGTTTATCATTTATGATGACTAATTATCAAGACCGGATTGTCAACATTCTACCATGATGAATCATTAATAGGGGTTTAGGCAAATGACATGAACTATATCAAACAGTTTATATCCCCATAATTATCCCATATATACCATTATGGTTGCAATAATCCCATTATGGGATATATATATATATCTATCTATCTATAAAATGATGCCCTTTCAGATCTATATTATATCCATATTATATCCATATTATATATATAATTAAAAATATTATATTATATTATATTATATGATATGTCCCATTGAACGGTGACCATTTCTGATCCATCATGGTGGCAACCAGCGAGGCTGGCGCTCTTGCGCACGCTGCGCCGCAAGAGCGGCGAGCTGATCAAGGCTGCGGAGGATGTGACGCGGAAGCAGGGATCCGTTGGTTGAAATCATTTTTATTATATATGGTAATATAAGCAATGGCAATATCCCACTAAGACTATTGACTTCCCAAATGGACTGCTGAATCATCATGTTTCACCAGTTGTGGTAATATCCACGATGATCAATGGATTGGTTTAAGGGAAAAAAATACAGGAAACCTCCATATGTCATGGAAAAATCGATGGTTTCCGGTTAAAATTTTCCCTTGAACCATTCCATATGAAATAATTTGCTGGTGCTTAGTAGGGAATGGGGGAATGGGATGATCGTCAATAGTTATGGATCATTCCCCCATTCCTTACTGAGCACCAAAAAGATAGCGATGATTTCCATGTCAACAATGGTGGTTTTATGTGGTTTAACCATGTTTAACCTTTAAAAAAAAGGATTCTCCGCTTATTTAATTTACATCATACTTAAGCAATGAATAATAGAATTTGATTTTGAATGGCTAGGCCAACTGTTGGAATTTAGATTCAGTGGTTAAAATATGTTGAAATAGCTTCAACATGCCGCGATGACGGCTACAGTTTTATGATGTTTTATAGTGGAGATATATCTCCAGTTGGGATTATTGAAGCCACTGGATCCACAGCTCCAATCCGAAACCAGGACCGGGGATACACAGAACCCTTTGGAACCGTCACAGACATTTACCCTCTGGTTATTTAACATAGCCATGGAAAATTATTTTTTTTAATAGGTAAACCCAGGTAAACCATCTATAAATGGGCCATTTTCCATGGCTATGTTAAATAACCAGATGGTAATTGGACTAATCATGACTAATCATGACTAATACACTTCTATGGAGGTTTCTTGAAATGCATCAATGCATCCCTTAAAATCATCCAGTCGTCATGGATGACCATGATGCCTCGTAAATTGAAACAAACATGGTGACGACTGGGGATCGCCTATGACTTAAGATTTTGGGAAAATGACCCCAGTGAACAGTGGCTGCGGCTATAGTTTCACAAAGGGTCTAGGGGATTTAATAAAATATCATCGGCTCTACATATATATATATATAATATACAATATATATATATATATATATACAATATACAATATATAGATATATATATATATGGAAAACATGTTGGAAGATAGATGGAATATATGGAATTTGCCAATGGATAAGGGTTATTAACCGCCTACGATTGGGTTTTACCCCGCACTTCTGCGATGATACCCGGATGAAACCACTTGGCACATGAAACCCTGATGGTTGAGGATAATGATCCCTCAGCTGGGTTTGCAGAAATGCACCCTTGAACTTTGGACCATTTCCCAAATGATTTTACACACATATTTTGGGGACAACTTGAAATCAAGACAGCTGCTTCCATACATACTTTTGTGACCGTGTCTAGTGATGTTTTTCTCTAGTTTTTTGGGTGACTCACAATTCAACATGGGAAAATTTGGATTTGTTTGTTGTTTTGTGACTAGATCCCTGGTTTTAAGTGAATGGATATCATAATGGGAGCATCAGCACAACCAAGGACACTGTATTGTACCTCCCCAGAGGAATGATGTGAGTTTCTCTCATAGAATCGTAAGATGAACTATCCACGAAGCATCCTGTGTAGCACGGTTTGAATTCGAGAGCAAAAAAGTTGTCATCCGTGGTAGCGGCCATTTCAATAACTTTCTGCTATGGCATTTGTTTGATTCTATGTGTACCTTTTCAGGTGGGTTTCCAATGCCTGCAAAAAACATTTGAATGTGTTTTATCCTTCTTTTGGGGGAATGCTTCAGGAGATTCCCAAAATCCAACCCCCCCGCGGTTGCAGTCTAAGCAGAAGCACTCAGACAGCCTCCAAGACCTGTCGATTAATCTTAAAGGACAGGTGTTGAGTTTGAGCCTGGAAATGCAACCATGGGATACCATGGGCACCTGCGTATAGATGCTACAAACTATTAAAACCTTGGCTTGGCTGGTTGATGCTGGTTGATGTTGCTTGATTTGATTATGGGAACAGGATGTCCTGCTGAAAGATCAGCATGAAATTGGCCCCTAGTTTCCAAACCAAGGCGAACATGAAGCCTGAGAATTTACTCAGAAAGATGCTCGTGTCGTTCCCTGGCCATTTCGGGCCATTTCACCTGGCCGGTGGTGTCAATCGAGGTCTGATTAGCCACTAAGAACCACTACTAGACTACTAGGTGCTTCTGAAGCGTTTATTGAACCTGCCAAAAACTATGCTTGTTTCACTGTCAAGAAGTTGCGCATCCTGTATGGGTTTGTTTGAAGATGTGGTACTGTATACCAAGTGTACCAGCAAATCCGCTTGTTGATGATTGTTCATTATTCCCCCGATGGCCGCACATGGGGGCATCAGATTTTCAACTAAAATCATGATAAATCCATATGTCATGTGCTCTCATGATATTCTTCGCAGTCATTGTGCATAGGGATACAGTAAGCAATAAGGACAGATAGAACCGGGATTTCAACACTGTTTCAGTAGGATTTTACTTTTCCATTTTTATTGAAAGTTGCGACAAATACTAACCAGCAAAAAAACATGTTTATTTGCAGAGTATTTTTTTAGATTGGCAATGTTTTCTGTCCGTTTGTTTCACTCTTGAAGACTCCATCAATATTGCCAATGCCCATGATCAAGGCATTGATTTGCTTAGAGGAGGACGCCAACAAGCAGTTGTGGTTCAACCACCATGACTAAACGTTCTTGCTAAAGAAGGATCTTGAACGTCCTTGTTAAAGAAATTTGAGTAGAAACTCCACCATTTTTTTTAAAATATAAATCGATATAAATGCTGATGTCTATGCAGAAACTATACCAAAGATACCCGAACATTATACTAATCAACAAAAGAAACACACACACAGACTTTACCACTATTTCAGTAGGATTACCTGTCATTACTTATCGATCTATCATGATCTATCTATAATTGATTCCATATATAATTATATATACATGCTCTATCTATTGAGGAGGTCGCTGCAGGTTTCCTTGGAATTTGGTTTTTTTCGCTGAGGCAACTTTGGCCAAAGTTCGGAGACCCAGCGTAATTGTTTGCGTGTGTTCAAAACTGGAGGGCATTTTTTTCCATAGGGAAAACATATGATGGCAAAACAATGGAAATATGGGAAATCTATGGGAATTCTATGGGAATTCTCAATGGATTGGTTTAAGGGAAAATCTTAACCGGAAACCATCGATTTTCCCATGAATTTCATGGTGCTTTTCGGTTTCAATATTCCCTTAAAATCCCTTAAACCAATCCATTGATCATCGTGAATATTTCCACAACTGGTGAAACATGATGATTCACCAGGCGATTTGGGAAGTCGATAGTCTTAGTGGGATATTGCTTATATTAATTCTTTACCTTTTCACAAAAATGGTCGGTCTATTGCAACAGATAATAATAATCATTGTCATTTTCATTATTGGGAATCCGACGACGAACCATTTGTCACTCACAGCCTTTTTCAAACATTTGATGTTTGGCCCTGGGAACCACTTTTTTTTGAATGGGTTTGCCTGTCATAATATAGTATGTAATCCAATCCCTTCAAGATTAAGATACCGCCCATGGATCCTAAAGAACAATTAACCGAAGATAGCCCAGAATTAAAACATACTTTCCAGGATGGTATTAAATATTGGGAAAAACGGATTTCTAGACTATCCAATTTCGTTCGGCGATGGGCGCCCATTCGGGCTCATGCCCAAACTGAGAGAGAGAGAGAGAGAGGGAGTGGACGCAAGTTTTAGATGCAATTCGCTTCAGTCAGTGCGTCCAAACAGCAAAGATGCTGAGGTTCCTAAAACGGGTGTACCCCCAAATCATCCATTTATAGATGGATTTCCATTATAAACCATCCATTTTGGGGTACCCCCATTGATGGAAAACCCCATCCATTTGCTTTGCTTTCTGGCTCCATCGAATCTCTAGGAAGTGCCCCTGAAAGAATTGAGCCTCTCCACAGTTTGCGCTATTGTCTTCCCACTATTCTCATCTATCATATATGAATCGATTAAAATCATCGTTGGCAATGGTGGTGACAGTGCTAGAATGTGCTTCATTCTGTTCATGTTTATCTTTATCATATGTATCAAAATGTCCTCAATCACAACATATCACATCCCTTAAGGCGTTCAATGATGCTCATTAGTTTCTATCATATTTTTCTCACATTAGTTTCAATGATGTTTCCATCATTAGTTTCCATCATTAGTTTCTCAAGATGTTTATGAAAAATCCTCACGTTCTTCCCATCTCAACTGTGCCCAAACCTCCAGGGTTCCCGTTCCGCGCCATGTCTGGCCATGGGTCGCACCTACCGGGTCACCGGCGGTGCCTCCAATGGCCTCCTGGTGCGGCAGCAGCGGGCCTTGAGCTCCACGGCCTGTGCGGAGCGCCTGAGGCATGGCTCGGTGCCGGTGGCAGCAGCGGCCACACGAAACACCAATGGTGTTGTAACATGTTGTAACACCCATAGGATCCATGGTGCTGGTATATATGCCAACATTTGGGGTATATTGATGGTAAATGTTATTTCAACACATTCCATTCTACAGCTATCAAAAGATATGGCTATGGATCAATACAATACCTATAAAAATACAATTTTTTAGGGGGATGAACATCCATAAATCCCAGCTATTTTGATGTGAACTATAGGGGTACTATTGGTTTTGACACACTGCCACATGTAACTAACACGTTGTATCTTATACGTGTTTTTGCTGGTTAGGATTGATAGATGTTTTTAATGATATTTACAACTAGATAATGATGAGATATTTATAGCAACCCCCTGTTCTTCAATCTGAGAACATCTTCGCCCAGCATGAAATCATCGTACTCCAGAGCTGGAATTTGGTTGGGTTTGATAAAAACATGCGTATAATAGCAACCCCAAAAAAGATAGAAGTTGGTAAAATCCTAGTGAAATAGCGATGATTTCAACATGTTCTATCTTTCTGGGGGTTGCTATACGGATCAAAAATGGTGGATTGCAAATGGGGGATCAAGAAAAAACTCTGATGTAGAATCAGTTGACCATGAAATGAGGGGAACAATGGGGATTTTATCAGTGGTTCATTTTGAAAAAAAAAACGTTTCGAGACCATTCAAACCGGAATCGAGAGTAGCCTGGATGGCCAGGTCGGTGATTGACAAGTTGTACCATGTGTGAAAAAAAAGAAAAAAAAGCATTCATGACAGGGCATGGCCACTGACTGCAAGTGGGATGATCGCAAATATATGCAACTAGCATGGACCCAAAAGCATCGATATCTTGGATTCAGAAAGTTAATTTGGTTTGTTGTATTGAGACTATCGTGGGGGCCCTCAAGGTTTGAAGTGCCAAAAACACATTAAACAGAGTCTTAGTGGGCTTGAAACCCATGAAAACTCCGGAAATTGAGATCTTACTCAAGTGTGGCATAGAAACATTTGTTGAAATTGGGATCAACAAAAGGGAGCAAGTACAGCCACTTAATGGAGATGCTTGCCTGCCAGACAGTCTTTGGAGATGTCTCAAAGAATGCTTTTTCCTTTCTAAAGAATAGTGGAGCTCCAAAATGTTTGATATAGGAACTTCTTCAAAGCAGTACCTGTTGCAAGTTTCGTCTCCCAAGTCAGGGCTTGATGAGGTGAACATGATCAATAAGGAGTTTTTAAAGTGCTTTTTTGGTTCGCAACTCAGGTGGTCCAGGAATTGGAACTCACAGAGGGTAGATTGCGATACTCCTTGCTGTTCGGCGTTGGACCTGCTGAAGGCTGGGAAGCGATGCTGCTGGGAGGATGGAGTCGCGACTTGGATATTCTGAGGCTTTACTTGAATGACCCCCCCTTTAGAACTGGGATATTTTATGGGTTTAAAGTTACCAGGGGCTGAGAGCCAGCTCTTAGTGTAACCAGTTAACTAAATCCATGGCCAATCTACGAAGTGGATTCTTTTGGGGCTATTTGTTTGGGACACGATTTGGGAAGGGCGACCCAGATTATAGAACCTACAACAGCAATGCATCCCATGGATGGTCCTGGATGGTCCAGTAGTGATAGTATGCTGGTTTGGACAAGTAATAATGGTTATATAATGTTATATATATATATAATGGTTATATAATAATGGTTAATATAATGGCTGGTTGATGGTTTCAAGCATTTTTTTATTTTCCATAATAAATGGGACAATCCTTCCCATTGACGAACTCATATTTTTCAAGATGGTTGAAACCAGCAACCAGTATGATTCAGTGCTGTGATTCCCCTAGCATCCCATGTTTTGAACCACGCCCATTTTTTCCCCCATAGAATTGAACGGCCAAATTCTAGCTATGTTTTAATATCCTGTTTTCTGTTTGTATAGTAGCCCCAAAAGGATAGAAAGACAATATCCCACATTATGCCACTACTTCAGTAGGAATTTTCTTTTCCATCTCTTTTTGGGGTTGCTATAAGTTGCCCATATTTGAACTCCATTGCCGAGTCCACCAAGTGGCGAAGGTTGGGTCAGCATCCACTGCAAGGGTCAAGCACTGCTGGTTGAGACGCATCTAACCGACCTGGCCGAGGCCTTGCTTGAGAATGGGGTATACGGGGTATTACGGTATTACCCACCCATGACGGATCCATGGTGCTGCTATATATGGTAACATGGGTCCCATCAATATACCCCAAATGTTAGCATATATACCAGCACCATGGATCCTATGGGCCATGAAATGACCATGTCATCGGAAAGTTGATGATCAACAAGAGGATTTCGGGTATACATACATTTTAAAATTTGGGATCATTTGGGTTTGTCCAAGAATTGAGGGGTCCAGACAATCAATGGCAATTTTGGAAATACAGTGCACATATGCGAATTAGGGGTTACCCTATTCTTCAGACAAACCAATTTGGGAAGATTTCATAACAGCAAATTTGCAGGACAAATGCTGTAACCAGCAAAAAGTGTCGGATGAAGCACCCCCAGTGGTGATCTGCCCAATATTTGGATGATACATAGCCACCGAACTGGCCGATGAATCCCGTTGAATGCTGTTCTTTTGAGATTTTTTTTCATCCCCCAGCTCATCCCAAATGGAGCATGGACATGTTGAGTTTCTTGCCACCAAGAATCCATTGAAAATGATGTTGTTTGAAGCCAACTCAGAGCTCAACAAAAACAGATTCCCGGCATTTCCATTGCATTTCCCGTCTATCTCAGGTCCCAATAGAAATTTCTCACATCGCCGGGAATGGTACCATCATCCCACCGATACCATCCATCAAAGTTATTCGCCAGGCGGCGGCACAGGCTCCGTGGGTCAACAGAGTGGAATTGATGGACGTGCTGATGCAGGCGACTTTCCGAAATGGCAGCGATGGACATGTTCCCACAAAAAAAATGTTGGGTCCTCCAGTTGGAGAAGTCGCACTCGATGAGTAGTACAGTGTTCTGGTTGGTTTGGAACATGTTTTATTTTTCCATAGTTGGGAATTTCATAATCCCAACTGACGAACTTATATTTTTCAGAGGGGTAGGTATACCATCAACCAGATATGTATGTTTTTTTTTGTTGAATGATCCATGTGCAAGTTGGGGTGTCATGAAGTCATAGTTTTGGGGGAATACTACGCAAACAATAACAGCCAACATGGTGGACACTGACTAACTATGCAACCAATTGGATGGGTGGTTAATCGTACGTCACAACAATAGACATAGTAGCAATAACAGTGATACTCCTAGTAACAACAATACCTTAATTTATAGCTATACTAATAGTTACAGATTGTTATAGTATGCTATAGTAATACTTATAGATAGTTATAGGATGCCATAGTAATATACATAATTGGATAGTTATATACTGTAAGTTATATAGTATGTTATAGTAATAGTTTTTGAAACAAACATGTGATATGTTTGAACTCCTAGGCATTATAGTTGGATCCCTTCTTTGGTGGCCAGGTAGCCGAGTCCTTGGACCGTGGTCCCAGATTCCGCGCGAGCAAAGTCTTGGAGGGAACCAATGTGCCGCACGTCATTGAGGTAGCGGGGGGGTGAGGAGGAGACGTTGGATTGAGAAAGTCTTACCTGGCTGGTGCTTTCAAAGATTATATATATATATATTATACATACATATATAATCATATATATTTATATACATACACACACACACACCATATTTGGGCAAATTATACTGACCTTACTGTGAACTCACTGGAATCATGGTGAATGTATCGGGGAATCATCCCAATATAGCCCTATTTCAGGTCAGAGAGAATTATTATGATTTGTCCAGATATGGGGGTTTCCTAAAGTAGTTTCCTTTCCCCCAAATTATCATTTTTATCTTGGAATTGTCCATTATAAACCATCCAGCTATGGGAGTACCACCATTGATGGAACCCCATTCTAGGATCATGCTCCCACTACATTGCCAGTTGAGGAGTGGTCGACAATTCCTGTGCGGAGTTGCGGGGGTTGCCGCAAAAATTATCCCCGATTCAGAATCACAGAAGATTATGAGTTGCCACCAGGAAAGCATTCCAACATATTCCAACCAGGTCTGCCAAAATGACTGTACTGAAATACCTGGTTGCTCTACTGGGTTTGGCTGGATCTGTTTAAACAAAAATCTGTTCGTCCCAGCACGTTGAAGCATAGGGAATCAGTGATTTTTTTGCTCTGAAAATGCCAGGTATGCCCCCAGTTATAGCTATTTTTCCATGGGAAACGGGATCATCCAATGGATTTAGGGATTGTCGTTAGCTTAAAGCCCGCTTTACAGGTCGAAGCGATGCCTGGAAGTATGTCGCTGGATGAGTTTTGGCCCAGCAACTGTGAGTTATCCTTCGCAGAGATGCAGGAGAGCTGACCCAGCAAGGTTGAGGAACCGGCAGGGCGAAACTTGGATAAACACAGGGGAGTTCCTTAAACCACCGAGCTTTAGATCATTTATGACAATTTAATAGCGTTTGAGATCACCTAATCATCTATCCCATAGGATCCATGTATGGTATATATATATATGCTAACATTGGGTGTATATTGATGGGATCCATGTTACCATATATAGCAGCACCATGGATCGTATGGGTATAGGAAGGATCATTTCAGAGCGTTTGAGAAGTTAGTTCCAGTTTCATCGGATGCGTTTTCGTGGTCGTTCCCATGTTGAACAGATCCGAAACAGACACATCAACAGCCCGGGATCCAACCCAGTCATCACCGCAACACTGTGAATCTTGCAGAGGTTTCCTGCAAAGATGGCAACATTTGGAGATAAGGAAAACTGTCACTGTCAAATCTAAACTTGATATTCCAAGATATGGGTACGGATCAATACCTATTAATACCATTTTTAGTGGGATGAACATCCATTTACCAGCTATTTTGATGTTCACCAGGGGTACAAGGTTTTGACACACTGCCATATCTAGTCCAACAATGATCATCAATGATCAATGATCCATCCTAATATGTTCAGCAGGATTTATATTGGCGGATTACTTGCAGCAGCTCATGCGATTCGTGTACCTTGGCTTTGGCCTTGACCTTGAAGGACAGGTCTGGCGGGTCGGGTCAGTGACAAGCTGTGACAACAGTTCAAGACATGCCATTCTACGGCGATCAAAAGATATGGGTATGGATCAATACCTATAAAACCTATAAAAATACCATTTTTTAGGGGGATGAACATCCATAAGTCCCAACTATTTTGATGTGAACTACAAGGGGTACTATTGGTTTTGACACACTGCCATATCGAAATGGTGATGAAATCTTGGTTCCCAAGAATTCATATTTTCTAAGTGGTCCTTCAAATTATTGAATTGACTTCATGAACAAGTGAATTCCCAACAAATTGCAATTTAACAATCGACATCTAAAATCCCATAAAATACATCAACATACAACCATATATGTAGATTTATTTCCATACATTTTGGCGAACGCTTGTGACGCCGCCTTTTGCCTCGCTTGTGACGCCGCTTTTGGCCTTGCTTCGCCAGTTAAAGTCATCTTTGGCCGGCATCTAATGTGTCTTGCATATTGGCATATCATGCGCTCGATGCTATGCTGCAGTGCTGCAACGCTCTAGACCTTCTACATCGGAGATATGCAAAGCACGGGTTTATCTCCTCTAGGGACGTGCTGTGGGGTGGGGCAGTGCCGTTCTAGTTTACAAGAACATGCAGTAGAGATTGCGCTGCAGATCTGCTATGTTTTTCCCCACCTGCCAGGTGAGGGTTGTTAGATTTTATCTAAGTTGCCTGCTCCTCCTCCTCCTCTCCTCCTCCTCTCGTCGTCCTCCTCCTCTCGTTGTCCTCCTCCTCTCGTTGTCCTCCTCGTCTCGTTGTCCTCCTCGTCCTCCTGCTCAACTGCGACTCGCGATCCACAGTGTTCGCTGCCGGACCTCAACCACGACCATCCACGCCCAGTGTTCCCTGCCGGACCTCAACCACGACCATCCACGCCCAGTGTTCCCTGCCGGACCTCAACCACGACCATCCACGCCCAGTGTTCCCTGCCGGACCTCAACCGCGAGTATCCACGCCAAGTGTTCCCTGCCGGACCTCATGTAGGAAGATAAAATGTCAGATAGAGTGCCAGAAGATTTGCCAGGTAGAATGCCAGAAAATATGCCAGAAGATATGCCAGATAGATATGCCAGAAGATATTTCAGAAGATATTTCAGAAGATATGCCAGATAGAATGCCAGATAGAATGCCAGAAGATATGTCAGAATATATGCCAGAAGATATGCCAGATAGAATGCCAGAAGATATGTCAGATAGAATGCCAGAAGATATGCCAGATAGAATGCCAGAAGATTTGCCAGATAGAATGCCAGAAGATATGCCAGAAGATATGCCAGATAGAATGCCAAATAGAATGTCACAAGATATGTCAGATAGAATGCCAGAAGATGTGCCAGTAAGAACATGTATAAATGTCATGGTGGGGATCACACGAAGTAAAGTAATTTTAAATATATAATATATATGCTTGTGATATGTATTGCTGTCATGGAGCAGCTTCCACCCCACCCCAGCCCGACCCCACCCCCATCCCAACCCATGTCATGATCGCAAGTGAGGCGAAAAACCTGGAAAAAAACGGTGTCGCAAGTGAGGCGTTCACCCATAAAATCCCATTGCCAATCATGTAAAGTTGTTACTTAGTTACCCTTTCTGACGCCCCGCGGCAGGAGATGGCCGACCATGCCACGCTCCAGCACCAGGGCTGCCGGGTAGTGCCTGGCCAGCATGGTAAGCCAGGAAACGGGGGCGTATTAACCATTATCAACTAACATGGTAAAGTAAGAAATTGTTATTAACTCAGTTTATTGATTGAATGTGTTTATTTGTATAGATTTAATTTAGCTGTAGTGGTTTACCATGGTTTGCTTTGACTGTTATTGCCCCAAACGGTAGCCAGTAGCAATTGTAAAGAAGTCAGAGGCAACCCCAGAGAAGGCTACCCTCTTGTGAACAAACATGAGCATGGAAAATGCATGAAAATTGTTATATTCATCGATATGTTTCCGTGAGAAACTATGGATGGAGGATCTTCTAGGCTCTGACCTCACCGGGCACTTCCGGGCCCCAGCTTTGCTCGAGGTGAATTTGCTGGTTCTCAACACACTGCTGGATATCCGGGATTTGGATGAGCTCATCTTAGTGGAGAAACTGTCTGGAGCAAGGCCAGCGGATGAAGCAATCAACAAGTTGTTTCGTATGGATATCCTTGACGCTCTTGCATACATGGGTGATTGTTGGGGTAACTGTTGGAAATATTTCATAATATTTTAGCATCATGGAATATCTAGAAAAACCAACTACTTTACTTCGAGTTATCCCCACCATGACATGTATCATTTTGTTACTGGCAAATCTTCTGGCATTCTATCTGACATATCTTCTGGCATTTCATCTCGCATATCTTCTGGCATTCTATCTGGCACATCTTCTGGCATTCTACCTGGCATATCTTCTGCAATATGTGCTGGCATATCTTCTGGCACTCTATCTGGCATATCTTCGGGCATATCTTCTGGCATTCTATCTGGCATTCTATCTGGCAAATCTGTGGCAAATGTTCTGGCAAACATTCTGGCACTTTATCTGGCATACCTTCTGGCATTCTATCTGGCATATCTTCTGGCATTCTATCTGGCCGTTGAGGTCCAGCGGTGCTCACTGAGCTCGGAGGGTCCCAGGTTGAGGTCCAGCGGTGCTCACTGAGCTTGGAGGGTCCCAGGTTGAGGTCCAGCGGTGCTCACAGAGCTCGGACGGTCCCAGGATGAGGTCCAGCGGTGCTCACTGAGCTCGGACGGTCCCTGGTTGAGGTCCAGCGGTGCTCACTGAGCTCGGAAGGTCCCAGGTTGAGGTCCAGCGGTGCCCAGTGCGCTCAGACCCTTGCAGTTGAGGTCCAGCAGTCCACTGCGTGCGGAAGTTGGCGAAGAGCTTGGCGAAGAGTTGGCAAGGCGGAAGTGAACATTGAAGTGGAGGCAGAGGTGGTGGAGGAGAAGGAGGAGAAGAAAAAGAAGAAGGAGGAGGAGGAGAAGAAGAAGGAGGAGGAGGAGAAGAACAACTCTGATAAAATCTAGCAACCCTCACCTGGCAGGTGGGGAAAAACACATGATATACAGTACCCATTTTCATTCTGCATTGCCTCATTTTCTACGTACGTGCATTGATTTGATCACGTGAGGATGGGTGCACCTTTTAAGACCATTCGAGAGCCACAAGTGTTGGACATATGTAGTGCTACCCTCTGGTAATCAAACATGGCTGGCTGGCACATCCCCCATTTACCTTCCCTGGTAAACTAACATAGCTATGGAAAATAACCATCTTTAATTTTAATATGAAAAATTACGAACTTTCTATGTGCCATCTAGGCTATGCAACAAATTACAGTACCAGGAGGGTAGACCCCACAAATCCCATTAACCATTAAGTCCCATTAAGTTAAGTCCCATTAAATCCCATATAATCCCATTAAACCATCATTAAATCACCATTAAATCCCCCTTTATCCTATGACTTTCCCATGAAAAATATCCATTTCCCACGGGGAATTCTCAGCCAGCCATGTGTTGACGACGAGGCTCCCAGTGCTGAACACGGCTGCCAGCTATGATGGCAATGCAGCATGGCGAGCTTTGGGCTTGGACTCGCCCAAGGTGGCCAAGCGGGACGGAGCTTTCCTGAAATAGGTGGTTTGACACCTGAAAAATCCTGAAAATACCTCACATGAATAATCCATTTCTATAAGAACATGTAAATATATATATAATATATGAACATATCCACTGTATTTCCATTATAATCTAAAGGTTATAAGTTATAACCCTATCTATTCCTGGGTACCCCCAATTTTGGAAAACCTCCAAATGTTGGCAAATTAATGCAAATGTTCAAGACTGCACTGCAACAATGTGTGATATAGTTCCTAGTTGTTATACTATGCTATGAGTTTATCATGTTATGTGTTGTTGTATATCATTGGATCTCATTGTAATTCCTCTAAATCTGCTGTGTTTACATGTCCAGGATCGTAAAAACAGCAGTTTATAGAGTAGTGTTTCCTTCATGGAGTTACCAATTCTAGTATAAACATGACAGATCCATATAGATCCCATATACCATATAGTATAATACAGATCCCATATAAGGTTCACCGCAACAGTAGGCCCTGGCCCGGGCCACAAGCCCCGGACAGGTAGATCTCGGAGCAATGGGCCGTGCAGCCTTCGAAGCAGTGCCCCACTGGTGGCTGGCAGCGTTGCTGGAGAGCGAGGATGGGCGATGCATGCTGCACCTGGATATGTGCCACTTGGGTTTCAGGCCTGTCAGGTGGCCACCACCAGTTTTGTTGGTGTTGAGGAAAAAACCATTAGATATATTCACCATATTCACCATAGACCGTAAGCTGCAACTTAGGTGTCTAAGGAGCCCCGCCTTGTATGTTTGTCTGAAAATGGTGTATATAATATAGGGAAAATTTTGACAAACCTGGGCTGACTCGAGGTTTGTTTTCTTGCCGATTGATTAATCCGCCAGCCATTGGGAATTTACCTTTTCATTGTCATGGTCCCTCAAGCAAATCCAAGTTTGCGTCTCAGATGTGGGACATGTTACCGAAAACTGCCATGCTAACAGTTAAGGGAACATGATTTGAAATGATGATAAGCATAATACACCATAAATTATCATGAATGGTCACCAATTTCAAGGCCCTCCCAGTTGGAGTTCATCTCTGGAAAAAGAGGTGGGTTTCATGCAAAGAAAGAGCCTGAAACAACCAGATATAGCATCCATGACGTATTTAGTTTGTCCCTTTGTACAATTGGATTATGTGTGCTGATGAAGATTCCTGCTGCTCAGTAGACAGGTGAAGCGTCAGGTGTCAGGCCTCATGGAGCTTTCCCGATTCATGGGGGTTACCCCCAAATCATCCATTTATAGATGGAAAATCTTGAAGGCTTTCCTTGTCCCAGGCAACTATGCGTATAGCTCCAATCGTTTGGAGTCTGAACCATCTTCCTTTCACAGCTTTGTGACCCCGGACTACGAGCTGACGCCAGACGCTTTCCCAAAGCTCCACCGCTTTCGACTGGGGCCCAAGGTGAATGGCTTACCTCCCAGCTGTTTTTCGCTGAAGCCGCTGGCTGAGCTGCGCCACTTGCGCTGTTCCTTTGGTCCGGTCTTTGCCACACCCTTGTGTACCTGTGGTGCTAATGTTGGATGCTGACTAGTGTGTGTGTGACCCAAAACAAATGAGGGATACTCTATATTGATGTCTGTTTTTCGGGGGACCAGGCTTGGGAAACCAAGGGTAATGAACTTAGCTGTTTTGTCACTCGCGTGCTGGCACTCAGCACTCGCGTGCCAGCACTCGCGTGCTCAGCACTCACTCCAATGCATTTTCATGCATTTTCCGGGTGTGCATCCTAGTAGATATGTTTATCCTGATTTAGATAGTGGAGTCTTTTATTGGAATAGGGAAAAATGCATTGAAGTGACGATAAGCATGAGATATCATGAGATATTCACGAGAGCCACGCGAGTACCTTCAAGTGGCGTTGATTTTTTCAACACCCTGAAAGAATTTACCCTTTTGGAGGAAACGGGGAAACCTCAAAATGCATCCGGGCGTCAGGCAGAAATTCGCAGGTTACCGGATGTTTTTTTCACAGAAAAGTAAATGCACCGAGGTATGAATAGGATAAAAAAACAATGCGTTTCGAACTTGCGATTTACTAGCCCTTTAAGGTCCAAAATTTGTAATGTTTTTTTTTCGGATCTAGTTAAATGCATTTACATATATCACAATGCTAAAAACCCACTGCGTGACGAACCTGCGTGCTAGCACTCAGCGTTGCGGGTGCTGCGTGCTGGAGGTGCTAAGGTCATGAATCTAAAGGTTTCAATTTTAAAAAATTAAATCTACGCTCAAGTCATTTTCCTTTGCGGGGCTCATGGGTGATGAGAGGATCTGTGCGGATCTTCGAGGAGTAATTTCAGATAGTATAGGACCACGTTCTTCTTTCTTTCAGTCTTTAATTTTCTCTTTCGTTCTTCCTTTCTTCATTTTTTCTTGCTGGCTTTCTTTCCGTTCATCCTGTTCTTCCTTTCTTTTCTTCATTTTTTCTTGCTGGCTTTCTTTCCGTTCATCCTGTCTTTCTCCCTTTGTTCTTTTGTCGTTTTTTTCTTGCTCTTTGCTTCTTGTTTGTTCTTCCCTTTCTTCCCCTCTTTCAACTTGTCCTTTGTTCTTTCGTTCTCTTTGTTTGTTAAGCTTGGCATTCTAAGGCTTGAAGACGAATGGTGCTAAGCAAGGTACACCAGTTATAGTCAAGAAATGGTGGATAAAGGGATTCAACAACAATTATCCAAGACGGTCCTGGGCACCCCGAAACAACCTGTCAATCAGTTCCCCAATGGTTCACGGGCTACCCCCTGGAAAGATTGTTTGGGTGATGTATTTCATCCATTTTCATCCTGGCTAAAGTAATGAATTTGATTCTTTGGGGAAGTCCTGGCATTCCAAAGAATTCAAAGTGGATAGTGCTGAGTAAAATACGTAAAGCAGTAGGAAAATAGGAAAGGAGTGGTGCCTTTTGGGATTCAAACAACAACTAAGTAGGAAGTTCCTCCTGAAAAAATTGCACGATAGAGCCCTCCCCCCAATCATAGGCGTCCTGAAATATATTCAAAAATATCCCGAGTCAGGGGCCTGTGCTATCAGAGTACAACATAAATTTCAATCGTTTTTGTATCTCGAACCCCTGAAAACATTGATGTTCCACATTTGTACCTGGGAATCCCAAATGGGTATCCGCAGTCTTTTTTTTGGTCCTGGCCCACCTGCCCTCCAAGGTACTTTCGCCGAAAACAAGTTGGGCTGCAACTTTGGTGAGCGCTTCGTGGTCGCTGACGACGAATCCCTGGGGGCCTTGACAGTGCTGCACTCCGACTACTGCCGCGCTGCCCAGCTCATCCGTCAACGGATCTTCGGCCGCCTGCCGGCCCACACGGCCGCGCAGATTTTGGAGATCCCGGGTCGAAGCTTGGTGACGAATCCAAGCACAAAGGGCTGAGATTTCAGTGCTCCATGCTTGGGGTAATTTAAGTGTTGACATCTTCATGCCAAATGCAGGCCCATATTTCCATGGTTTCCAAGGAAACTCGACTGTCAGGAGATAACACTCAGGAAGGCGGAAGGATGCATACGAGATTCCGAAAATTTGCGTTGATTTAATATGTATTGGAGTGTGCATCGGATGTTTGTTTTTGCACGACACCCCTTACAGCGATTGCCTTACGCGTGGCGCATTTGTTATTTAAATCACGGGGTATGGAGCGTCTATGCTTCCTTTGGTGTAGCCATCTATACCAGTAGTACCGCACAAGGCGGTGACGGAAGTTTCAAAAATAGGAAACCTATAGGAGAGGTTGGTTGTTGTGACTCACGGATGGCAGAGCGAATCCACTGATGGACTGAAAGGTGATTGATCTCTCTCACTCTTTCTCGCTCTTTTGCTCTCTTTCTCTCTCTTTCTCTCTCTTTCTCTCTCTTTCTCTCTCTTTCTCTCTCTTTCTCTCTCTTTCTCTGATTATCTACTCTATCTATCTATCTATCGATCGATCTATCGATCTATCGATCTATCGATCTATCGATCTATCGATCTATCGATCTATCGGTCTATCGGTCTATCGATCGATCGATCGATCGATCGATCTCGATCTATCTATCTATCTATATATGTGTGTATGTATGTATGTATGTATGTATGTATCTATCTATCTATCTATCTATCTATCTATCTGTCTATGTATCTCTCGGTCTGTCTGTCTGTCTGTCTGTCTGTCTATCTACCTGTGTGTCTGCAAGCTTGAAAACCTTGCTATTCTACGAGACTTCTTCATTTTTCCAAGTTGACAACATCAAAAATGAAGCAATTCTGCGAGACTTCCTCATTTTTTGAGGTTGACAACATCAAAAATGAAGCAATTCTGCGAGCCTTCCTCAGTTTTTGAAGTTGACCACATCAAAAACGAAGCAATTCTGCGAGACTTCCTCATTTTTCAAAGTTGACAACATCACAAACGAAGCACTTCTGCGAGACTTCTTCAATTTATCAACTTGACAACATCAAAAACAAAGCAATTCTGCGAGACTTCCTTCAAAAATGGAAAGTTGAGTGCAGAGCAGACAGCTTCGTACCAATGCGTTTTGCGATTTTTCCAGTCCACCTGTCGAAAGTACTGCGCTTGCCACGAAAAAGTGATGCCAAGTCATACGAAGTGCTGCACCTGTCACGCAAAATCACCTCAGCAAACCTGAAGATCTGATGCTCCAAAATGCAACCTCTCTCAGGAAATCAGCGCCCCGACCTCCTAACATCTCTGATGAACATGTCTTTTGTACTGCGCCTGCCACGCGAAATGCATCTTTGAAGATCCTCTTCAAATGTCCCACGCCTGCCATCGTTTTTGGAAATGCTACACTTTTTCCAAGGTGCACAATCCCTTGCGCCTGCAACGCGAAACGACATCTGAACGTCCAAAAGTGCTCCGTACCCGTCAGTTTTTTGCGCTTTTGACTTCAAAATGTGCTTCGCGCCACAACAGCGTGCACTTTTTCGACATCTTAACTTCTAAAAGTGGTCCTGAGCTGCTGTGTTTTGTGCATTTTGACTTCAACATGTGCTTCGCGCCACAACGGCGTGCAATTTTTTTCTCTCATCTGGCCAGATGGCTCCGCACCCGCCGCTTTAGCGAGCCTACTTTTCGACCCTCCGGAGCCACAAATCATTGGACAAAAACACAGTGTTTCGCGACTTTCCCACCTTTTCGCGCATCTGCATCTTCTTTCTTCTGACTTTCTCTTCTCTGATCTGCTCTCTTCTACTCTTCTCTTCTCTCTGCCTCCGCCCATCTCTGCTTTTCATCTGTCCATATTGTCGGAAGTTTGACTTCTAAACTTCCTTCGATTATAGGATCATACTAATTGTAGCATACATAGAATATATATATATATATTATATGTGTGGCTATATAATTAGCTACCAAGGTTTTTGACTGGAGCAGGATAGCAAACCCATATCAAGGAGCCCCAAAAGTAAGTGAAGTGCTTTGGACCTGGAGTCTGGGCTTCCAAGGACCTGACTTGGAAGGAGCTTTGGTTTCCTTGTTGGAGGACTGGGGGCCACGAAATGCTGGAAAACTTCAAATCAGCTGCTCAAAGATAGATACAGTATGTTTTTCCAAGGGGTCACAATATTGATGTGAACTAGACTATGCTATCATAAATGGTTCCCCAACAAAAAAACTCAAAAATTATGGCGGACCTGTTTTGATGAGGAGGAAACTGCCCATGATCAGCGGCCAGTCCTTACATTGATCGGTGAGACGCTGTCGATTCCGTTGCTGTCTATGAAGACGTGGCCGCTGCCAGGTTCACATTACCTTTCGTTGGCTGAAACTCGCCATGGTAGCCGTTTTAGCATTTTTTCAGGTGTGATTTGCTGATTTTGCTGGTATAACATAGTGAAGCGTGGAGATGATCAATCATAAGATATAATTTAGGATATTTAGGTCCAGTCCAATCTCACTTTTTTGCCTTCATCATCTTTATTGGGTTACCTTCTACACCTGGATCAACATCCTCTGGCCTCGCTACGCTGTGGTTGAATCCTGACATGACCATAGCCAATCCCAAACCTGGTCATTTTTGTCGCCCCCAAACCCAGGAAATGTATGAACAGTATCAACAAAAAATGCGTTCGCAAAAGTACTTCGGATTGCAGCCCTCGCGGCGCGAGGCGATACCGAGGATGAAAGAATCGCTGCGTTCGCTGGGTGGGTGGTTGTGTGGAGATTCAACGACTCCCCCAGAGGTGTCTCAGAGGTGTCAATAATCAAATGGCCAAAATTTGGCCCTTATTATATAGTAGTGGTTGTTGATGTTTAATATGTTTATCACCAATAGTGTTACTTGCGGGAGACGTAGCTATAGGTCGGCTACTTCTGCTGATGTTGGAAGTACTTGTGTTGTACAGCCAATAGCACTTGTGGTATAGAATCTTCAACCATCAACATCAACTAACTACCATCAATCAACCATTATCAACTAACTACCATATACCAACAGCTTTGTGGCAACTAACATCCCCATCAACCATCAACATGAACCAACCATAAACATCCAACCATGACCAGCATCGGGTTGAAAACCAACCAGGTTTGGATGGCCAAAACATGTGTTTTTCCCTGAAACCAGCCAGTAAAAAGCAGCAAGGACTTATTTGCACTGTGTTGAGTAGTATTGAACTACATCAACATACATATGAACATTATGACGTTGGCAACTGCGTATTGGATGACAGTCATCAACCAATGGGTTTGTCTAAACATAGGGTGTTTTGTGAGCTAACATTGACATTTGATATTTGTTGTTTACCAGCAGATTTTCACTTATGGCATATCAATTTTGGACAACTCAAGTCAATCAGGTCCCCAGGTTTGATGCTTTGTTCCTCATTATGGTTACCCTTCGGTAGTCAAACATGGTTTTGGAAAACCCACATTTGTAGATGTTCCATGAAAAACTCCATCTGTTAAGGATTTCCCATCTAGCCACGGTTGATTACCGGATGGCGACTTCCTAATGACCGCTAATCACCATTAATCACCATTATGAACCCTTATGAATCATTATTAACCTAAATTCACTCTATGATGATTAACCATATTATTGACCCTGATGTTGGATGCTTAAACCCTCATGATTGCTTAACAAAACACCGCCGTTTTCACCGGAAGTCACTGCCTGAGTTTCTCCGGCTGCAACCCTGACATCACCTTGGCTGAATTGCTGAGCCATCGCGTGGGCCTTCAGGAGGGCTGTCATGGCTGGCCCCGTGGATTTGGTGGGACCCAAGCTGGTTGGTGGTGACTGGAACCATGGAATTTTTAATGACTTTCCATACCCATGACGGATCCATGGTGCTGGTATATTAATGCTAACATGACTGGGGTATATTGATGGGATCCATGTTACCATATATAGCAGCACCATGGATCCGTCATGGGATATATTGGGAAGAATCATCATCCCAATCTGATGAACTCATATTTTTCACGGTTGAAACCACCAACCAGCAAGTTTCAGACACACTCATCTGGGGGTTTCCTAATGGCTGGGGGTACTCCCAAGTTTGGATGGTAGATTTCATGGAACATCCATCTATAAATGGATGATTTGGGGGTACACCTATTTCAGGAAACCTCCATATCAAACAACTATTGCCAAACATATAAATGTTCGACGGAAACTAGTTCTGCGATAGATGGTTTCTGGTGGGGTGCGGGTCAAACTTGGACCTTTTCCAGAATAAAGATTCAACCAACGAAATTGGCAGCTGACCAAGCAAAACGATGAACAACGGAGATACACACTAACAAAATCCATGCTATGATCAAAACAAATGATTATATTTCTGGATGTAGCACCTTGCTCTCTCTGCTCCTGCATAGGATAGGTATAGCTATTGTGGGACAACTAGACATAGTTGCAAACATGCGAGGCATGCTAGCGTGTTCCATGTGCTGGGTGAATTTTCCGTTGAGCATGGGAGATCTTAAAGTTTGACAGAGCGGTTAGAAATTTCGGAGGTGTGTTCGATTTGTTTCGATGGTATATTCCTTCATACTAGTACTTGGGATGATCATCCCAGATCCTGCCCGCGAGGATGCATTCCCCCCAGACTTCAAGCAAAGTTCATTGGATGATCTGAACGGAATGGTCGGAAACCTGGAGTTGGTATGACTTAGTCGTTGAAAAAGAAGCAGATCCTGCAATCCTGGATCGAATCTGACTGGTAGACTGGTAGAGTCTTACTTGTAAGAGATGCGTTTTTCGCTGGGGATTTCGGCGGAACATGTGGCAGGATGAAGCTGTCATGGCGCCGGTACTGCACACAATGCTGAGACTTCTTGAATTTTGGACTGCTACTGATGCAGTGCGGATGTTGTTTAGGTCGCTCATTTGGAGCAAGATATCCTGAAACCCACGGAGGATTCTCACTATGCTTATCTTCTGCAGGCGCTTGGTGTGTTTTTTGAAGCCGGTTCGGGCTTCAGAAGATCGACTCTATAGACATGGCGACCCAGCGCCATATATATATATACATACATATTATTATTAGTTAGACATACTTGTAGATTGACATACAAACAACATATGTGGGCGGAACCCCTCTTGAATCAACGGATTGCTTGTGTGGAATACGTCTTCTTCCGTGGAAAAGGAAAGTGCTTTCTAATCAGCATGCAACATGTGCAACATGTCATCATGACGGCCTGTGCCCCAGCCCCTGAGAGACACATGGTGCAGCCTTCGCATGGCTTTTGTTGGTTGCATCAAAGTTGCATCTGTGTTTTCTTTTTTAAAAATAATCGTTTCTCTTAATATTTTTTTAAAAAATATTTTTGTTGTTTAGCATTCTTTTCTCTTGGTCGTCCCCCAAAGTTGCAGGACCGTAGGATGCATGGCGCCCTTCCCTTGCCATCCCTGCAGTCCTTCGTCCTCGCTAAGCTTGGGAGCTGCATAGCTGATCAGGTGGGGCCGGGTCTGGGAAAAGGATAAGGCCCAGTCAGAGTCAGGCAGACAAACCAGATGTTGTATTATTGTGTATTATTATGCTCTTTTCCCCACCTGCCGGGTGATTCTTCTTCCGTTGGGCAGTGCCCATGTCAGAGAGAATGTCAGAATATTTGCCAGATAGAATGCCAGATAGATCGCCAGATAGAATGCCAGATAGAATGTCAGACCAGATGCCAGATAGAATGCGAGA